TAAAATTTATAATAAATGGCCGGTAGAAAAGGTTTTCGTTAATGAACGTCTTACCAAATCAAAGCGAGCTCTTTTTGCTCAAACAAGATCTGCTGCGAAAGATAAACAATATAAATTCGTCTGGTTATCAAATGCGGATATTCTCGTGAGAAAAGATGAAAAATCCAAAATAACTAAAATTAAATCATCTCAAGACATTCAAAACTTATAATTAGTATGTATGTAAATGTATTTTTAACTAGTATTTAAATTATGAATAATATGTTTAATTTTGATGATTATCTAAATGTTAATAATGTAAATTGCTCCTATATTGATTCTATAGCTGACATTTTAATTCCTAATAATAATCTATCTATTTTTCAATTAAATATCAGTAGTATAAATGCTCATATAAATGATCTTACAGCATTGCTTAGTACAGTAAAATATTTTTTTAGTATTATTGTTTTATGTGAAACATGGCTCATTAATGATTTTGATTTTAATTTAAATGGTTATAAAACCATCAACTCTGTAGGAACTTTGAATAAAAGTGATGGTGTTACTATCTTTATTAAAGATTCTCTAAATATAGTACAAATCGATAAACAAGTTTTATTAAATTGTAATTCTATGCAGCTTATAATTAAAGTCGATGACTTAATATTTTCATTAATTTGTATATATAGATCTCCAAATGACGATCTTGATAATTTTATTATTGCTTTAGACTTATTTTTATCTCAAATAAATAATTCATTTTTAAGTATTTTTTGTGGTGATATTAATATAAATATCTTAAAAAATTCAAATAAAAGCAATAATTATTTAAATATTATGGCTAGAAATGGATACCTACCTTGTATTAATAATTTTACGAGAGTTACAAATTTTTCGGGATCTTGCATTGATCATATTTTTATCAAAAACATTAAAATTAATAAAGTTAATTCATATATACTAAGATGTGATATTACTGATCATTATGCGACTATCTTAATGTTATCGGATTTATACACAAATGAAAATATTCCCTCATATACCTTAAAATCTGATATGATAAATACTAGTCATTTAGACTTATTAATTAAAACAGAAAATTGGTATTCATGCTTGGACTATGATAATGTTGATATTATGATCGAAGTTTTTAATTCCAAACTTAATGAATTTATAAATTGTTCTACGTATTCTAATATTAAGTATAAATCTAAAAAAATGTTTAAAATTAAAGAATGGATTACAACTGGTATTATAACCTCTATCAGAAATAGACAAAAATTATACGCTAAATTAAGAACTAGGCCTTTTGACTCAAATTTTAGACAATATTACATTTCTTATCGAAATACGTTAAATTTATTAATCAGAAAGTCTAAACAACTATATTATCAAAATAAACTACATCGCGCACAATCAAATACGAAACAGGTTTGGAACATTATTAACGAGGTCACAGGTAAACCATATCAAAATACGAGTAAAATTAATAGGATAATCAATAAAGATGGTATTGTTATTGAATCTAAAGTTGATATTTGCAATGAACTTAATAGTTTTTTTGTAAATGTGGCTTCAAATTTAGGAATTGAACACTATAATAATTCTGATAAATTCTTATTTAATAATAATATTATTGAAGACAGTATTTTTTTGAAACAAATAGACGCTAATGAAATTGAAGCACTCCTTTCAAAAATTAAGAATCATACTTCTTTTTATGAGAACGGTGTGACAAATTATTTACTTAAAAATGTACGTAAATCTATCTCCTTACCGTTAGCAATTATCTTTAATAAATCATTATTAACTGGTAAATATCCTTCAAACTTCAAAAAATGTACAGTTATACCTCTATTTAAATCGGGTGATAAATTATTATGTGGAAATTATCGACCGATCTCTTTATCTCTAACTTTATCCAAAATATTTGAAAAATGTATCAAAGTCAGAATAGTAAACTTCCTAAATACAAAATCTTATTTTTCCAAAAAACAATTTGGTTTCCGAACCGGGATGTCGACAAATGACGCGCTATTTGAGGTTGATAGTTTTATACGGAAAAATATTGATAAAAACTATAAAGTATTAGGTATTTTCCTAGATGTTCATAAAGCTTTTGATTGTGTAAACCATGATATATTACTTGAGAAATTAGATAAGGCTGGTATAAGAGGAGTTGCAAATAACCTTTTTAAATCCTTTTTAAGTGGACGAACCCAAAGAGTTAAAATTGATGATTTTTTTAGTGAATCTTTAGACATTTCTTGTGGGGTTCCTCAAGGTACTGTGTTAGGACCATTATTGTTTATAATTTTTATTAATGATCTTTTGAATATAAAAACAAATATTAATATTGAATTATTTAGTTTTGCTGATGACACTGCCATTTTAGTGTCTAATCCAACAGTAAATAATCTTTATTATGAAGCTAATTATATTTTAAATACCGTTTATGGGTGGTTTTGTAAGAATAAATTAAAATTGAATTTAACAAAATCTAAATTTATTAATTTTGAACTTTTTTCATCCAATAATTGTACAAATAATAATTTAATAGTTCATTCATTAAACTGTATACCTAATTTCACTTCAACCTGTAGTTGTAATTGTATTAATCTTGAAAATGTATTAGAAATTAAGTATCTGGGATTAATTCTTGATTATAGGCTAAAATGGGATAGGCATATAAATTTTATGAATAACAATTTACGTAAATTCTTCTACATATTCAAAGATACTAGATATATATTTAATAATTATTATAAAAGAATTATTTATTTAACCTTAGTACAATCTTTCTATTCATATGGTTTATCGATTTGGGGAGGAACCTATAATATACATTTATTCAGATTAAAAGTTACTATAAATTGTCTTATTAAATTTTTATTTAATTTACCCGTTCAAACTAGCACTATCATTTTATATGAGTCTCTAAATTTAAAAAACTTCAATTTTATTTATAATTTCTCTGTTTTGATTGATCTTTATAAACACAAACATTTAATATCAATATTTGATCACGAATATAAAACTAGATTTAAACAAAATATTAATATATGTTTACCAAATTGTACTAAAGTTTTTGGTCAAAAAAGTACATTTTATATTGGTTTACAGTTATGTATTTTATTTAATATTAATATAAATAATTTTAAGGATCTTACTTCTTTTAAAAAATGTATAAAAAAATTAGATTTAGATTATATTTAAATTTATGTTATTGCCTCTTTATTATATTGTTATAATTCTATTTTATGATCTTTATATATTTGTTATAAGTCTTATTAAGTCTCTTTTTACTGTTATTTTATGTAATCTATAAATATATTTATTATAACTGAAATTCTTTTAAGAACTGGCTCTCCCAGCACAAGCTTGCTTTTTGGGAGTGCTGCAACATTGTCAATTTTCATATAATTTATATTTTATTAATTTATATTTTTACGTATACATACCTACCTATATTTATTATTTTGTTTTAATATGTAAAGATGTTATGGTTGCAATAAAGTTATTATTATTATTATTATTATTATTATAAGAAAAACAATAATATTAATATATTATATATTACTATGTCACTCAGTTTATATTGGGTAGTGCTTAAATAAACATTTATTTATTTAAATAAAATTAATAATTTAATTTAATTTAATTTTAATTAATTAGTATAAATAGTATAGTAGTTTATTGTAAAAAAATAATATTAATATATTATTATATTGTTATATTGATGATTATTAATTATGTATAATAATGTAATATTAATAATTTGCAATAAAAATAAATAAAAAAAATAAATAAATCGTAATCAAAGTTTATTTATTATTATTTTAATTCGTAATTAATATTAATTTTTCTTCTTTTACCAATCCCGGTGACACAAAAAGCAAAACATAATTGTACAATTAATAGATACAATTCATAGCCGTACAGCTACTACGCTGATAGTAGTAAGCACTAGAACACTTCGTTCAGAATGGACAGAAACTAGAAATCATACTCTTAAATGTCTATAAACACCTCACATAGATCCAAAATATTTTGAAAATATATAGTGTTTAAAAACTATGCTGTATAAATTTTTCGTGACAATTTCAAGGTCATACGATTTTGATTTCCGAAATATACCAACAAAATAAAATCTTTTATCAAACAAAAATTTTTGATGGTGCGTAAACATATTTTGTTAGTCTTCTTCCCAATTACCGAGGTTCTCCCACTCTCGACCTTCTAAATTTCTTCGCCGAATTGTATTGTGACAGAAATCACAATGTATGTTGAAGATTAAAGTATAATTTCATTTTTTAACATCATTGTAAAACCAATATTATATATTCCTTGATCTGCGAATGTACATCTCAACAATGTAGCCGAGCCTAATCCAACCAACCTATTTTAGGTTTGCAGAAAAGGGTAGAGGAAGTATTATGTAGGTACTTGATACAGAATGTTAATGTTTGCGTTTTTGTAGATTGTATTATGAATAGTTGTTTGCATCATACTAATGCCTGTTGGACCGATCGCTTTTTATTTGCAATAAATAACGATCATTCGAATGTTGACGCACAGCCAAGGGCGACTTTTGTTATAAAAATATTTTATCGTATATACTTTGTGTGACTGGATACAATTTAATGATTTAGTTACCTTAGTGTTTTGCTTATTTTGTGGTAAAAAACTTAAAACCATAAATCATAATCCTTGTAACCTTAAGACATGTGGAAATGTAACATAACACAAATAGCAATATGTAATATGTATAATATATTCTAAAAACTGTATAATACAGTACTGGCGGCAAACCGGGTCCAAGTTCCAACAAATATTTTGAAAAGTTCATTGAGTGTAAAAAAAGATAAGTTATGGCGGGAAATCCATTTTAATTTTTCATGGAGTATTACAACATTATGTTAGTTATCTTTCCATGGTGTATTGCGTCCTCCATGTCGTATCAAACCAAAACAAAAATTGACAAAAAAATTGTTGATCCAAAATTCCACTTGTTTTTTGTTTGTTAAATGTTAATTGTTTTAATTTTTAAATTTTTGAGTGCTCCATATTATATTTGATTTTAAGTTAAAATTATTTGCTTTTCGTGTTAGCTATTAGTTTTATTAAATGTTCTCCTTATGTAGTCGATTTAACACCAAAATCTGCTGATTAAATCTATAATAAATAATAAAACTATGTATAATAACCACATTTTATAATATTTGTATTCTTTAAAATTATTATTTTACAAATTAATTGGTAATTGGTTAATTCAAATGACAAATATCATGTAAACTATTATACTATATTATAGTAAACTCTTATCATGGAGTTTACGAAGAAACATTATTCTTAAGTTGTACTATAGGTAAGTTAAATTATACATAAAGATAATTTATAGTTTTGATAGCTTCTTCATTCAATTTAAAGATTGTTATAATTTGCTGTAGGTTTATTAAAAGAAAGTTTCAATGAACTACAGAAAAATAAATTCCTGACAAATACCATATACATAAAGGTAAACATAATATGTTTTGTAATAAGTTTCAAATTTATATTTAAATCTTTTCACTTGAATTAAGTTTAATGTAATACACCCTAATATCCACAGATTTGTGATTAAAAGTTGCTTTACTATGGTAATTTGTATTAAAAACCCATGTTAGTACTCTTGAATTTGTTGTTATTACGTACCTAATCAGTTATTCAATTAAAAAAATTATTAATAATATTACTGAGTTTGAGTATTTTAAATAAACTGTGATAAACTGTATGCATAAAAATATAAAGAAAATATATAAATTGTAAATTGTAACTGTTAGGTATTGGAAAACCAACTGTATATATAAGTATCAATACATTTTTTTAAATCAACTTGCTATGAAGGCCAATAATTATGTAAGTAGTATATTTAAAATTTATATACATTGAAGATAAAACATTTATGTACCAATAATTGAGTGTTATTATTTATTGCAAAAAAAAATTATTGATTTCACTTACCATTGTCGTTACAGTGTTATCTAGATAACACCGTCTTGCATGTAAATAATTTTATGATACCCAGGATGTCAATAAAACAATTTTTTTAAACCCTTTAGAATGGTAAAATAAAAAGTGAATAAGTGGGTAACACTCTGCTGTACATTAGGAGTCTAGATAGTCACTGTTATGAATGTGTTGAATTTGAATTCAATAATATAAAATTATTGTTTATGAAAAACAATTCTAAACAAAGACGGTCTGTTAGCCCATAATATTACCAAGTATATTTGATGATACTATTGTGGTTAAAGCAATTTAATTTAACTTATATTAACACATTAGTGCGACAGTAGGTTAAATTCATTTTGCCCAAAAAAAATTACTTTTAAAAATGTCATTGTGTGTATAAAATATAATAATTAACTAAAAGTTTGAATGTTCATACACCCACAAATAAAATTTTTAAATTACAATAAAATAACTAAAACCGTAATTCTTGGTTTTAATATGTATTTTTGTCCAAAGTTGAACTTAAACTGTGTAAAAAAGATATTTGTGTTTATATATTTGTTTGTAGATTTGTTGGTTACAGTATGAACTATTTATGGGAATCCTTGTTTTAAGTTTTAAACTTAAGCTTTAAAAATAGAACATTTTATAATTTTTTTAAATAAATGATGAATATGGATCTTTCTGATGATCTCAATTGCTATTATAACCACTTATGAGGAACCATGTATTAAATTTCTAGTATTTCAACCCAACAAAAATAGTTTTATTGACATTTGTAGGAAAAAAGAAAAAACTTAAGGGGAATCTTATATTACATTTTCAAAGCTAAGATATAAATAGAAAAAATTTTTTATGAATTTCAAACTCATAATAATTTTCAAATTTTTGTGATTTTGATTAATTATTTTGTTAAAATTTTAATTTTTAGAGACTGTCTAAAGTCTATTTCAAATAAAAAGAATTATCATACGAATGGCATTTAAAAATGTATACTACTATACAGTGTTTAGTCTATTTATGGTGAATTGACTAGTGATTTCATATCCATTTATGATAGTTAAATAATAATAAAATTAATTCAAACATAAAATCTTGAATGTTTTTATTTATAGATAGTAGCTGTATGAGTGGCATCAAGGACGAGGTAGTTACAACCATTATGTATGATCCGGGCATTCGGCAAGAACAAAACCCAGTAACGGGTCAACTATATGCCACTATTGTTAAAAAAGATGATAAAGCATCTTCTGTTGACTTCCCATTCTACAATGTAAACATGGTACAGAAAGTTCCTGTATCTGGTAATATAGCTGTTCTTGCTGCAGCTTCAGCAAATGGAGTGACTCAAACTGATAAGACCTCTTACCGTTTTGATGTAACAGCGCCCTTCAATTATAACTATGCATTAGTAAATCAAATGTCTCTCACGACGGCTGGTGCAGCTTTTAAATGTGATGTTTGCGGTGCTGGATTTACACACGCATCAATGTTAGACCATCATAAAAAATCTGCTCATCCCCAAGAACCACCATCATTTACTTGTTCGACGTGTGGTTCTTGTTTCCCTCAAGTAAGAGATATGAAAGTCCATCGATCAACTGTACACAAACAATGTTTTTCGTGTGGTGCTGATGTTGCTCCACAAACAGTTAAGGGTAAAAAGTCTAGATTTATAAAATGTGTAAGTTGTAGTGGTGGTAATTGTTCTAACTACACTCCTCAAGAAAATGAAATAGAATCTAGTGACAATTTATCACCTGAGCAGACTGCAATAATGAAAGGTTATTATCCAGTGAAAAAAAGAGGTATGGCTACTGTCACCAAATGTTATAAATGTAATGGTTCTGGTATTATTTTTTTAGTTAATGGTAACCATACTAATGTCAATATGAAAAATGATTCAATTAACAATTCAAATACTCCCAATAAGCCTTTTCATTGTAACATATGTGGGGGAAGTTTTTCACGATACTCATCATTGTGGAGTCATAAACGTCTGCATACAGGTGATAAACCTTATAAGTGTGAAATATGTGGTTTATCATTTGCAAAAGCAGCTTATTTAAAAAATCACGGTCGAGTACATACAGGTGAAAAACCATTTAAATGTGGTGTTTGTGGAATGCAATTTTCTCAATCTCCACATCTCAAAAATCATGAAAGAATACACAGTGGTGAACGACCTTATCAATGTGAAGTTTGTGATAAAACATTTGCTCGCCATTCTACATTATGGAATCATCGACGTATTCATACAGGAGAAAAGCCTTACCGTTGTGATATATGTGGTTCAGCTTTTAATCAAGCCACACATTTAAAAAACCATGCTAAAGTACACACAGGAGAAAAGCCTCACCGTTGTGATATTTGTGGAGTTGGTTTTAGTGATCGGTTTGCATTAAAACGACACAGAAATATACATGAGAAGTATGCTAGACAACAGAGTGATGCAGCTGCGGCACATACTGTTACACCCCCATCACAAGAATTGGAACCAATCAGTGGTCAAACTCAAATTGAAGAATGTATATATAGTGCTGACTATACTGTGGAAAAGTATGATGCAGCAAATAATATTCCTACTGATATTGTGGAGGTAAAAGTTGATCAGCAGAATCAACGTGAACATGATACACAACAGCAACAAATTGAGGATTGTATTTATAAATAATGGTCAGTATATAATCTTAATGACATATATATTATTTAATATTTAAGTAAATGCTCATGTAAGTAAACTATGTAAATTTACTATCTAAATTTCGAGACTAACTAACTGAAACTAAATAGAAAATATTCTTTCAGATGAATATGTAAAGGTTAAATTGTAACAGGCGATTGCTAGGTTCTAAAAACTAATCATTCAAATTCTATACTTAGCTTAATTAATTGTTAAAATATTTGTACATTTTTATTTTATTTATGTATTATCTTATCAAGCAATTGAATAACATTTTTAAAGTTTCATTTATTGATACCATAATTAATTATAGTAGTACATAGTTCGATATGCTGCCTACCAGCAAAATGTTATCAATGTCGTAACATTTGTTGTTTCATATTATGCTTATTGCCCCACGTATTAACTATAAATTATAAAAAATCTTATATTGTTTTCTAATTAAACAAGCCATTTAAGTTACAACATGCTTTGTCAATAATGTACTCACACAAGATGGGGCAAAAAAAAATCCTAACCACAAACAATATATTTCTGTGATTCATTATAAAACCCTTCTAAATTCACTTTTTTTAGTGTTCATACACTTATAATACTATGATGTACTTATAGTTTACTTACCTAAGCACAACATAAATAAATAATACTTCAAATTAATAACTTCTGCTTCATAGACTTATGACCATGTAAAATCATCAGATAAGTTTATCTTTTATGGTCATTGTGGACCTCAAATATGTTTTTAGTCTTCTCGATATACCAAATGAATGCTTTGCCGTCACTGCATATGTTGACTCTGTTAAAATTAATTTAATGAGTTTGGAAATTTCAAAAGAAAGAATCTTTTATATTTAAATATTCATTTCCCAAATGTTATTAATATCAGACAATTCAGGGTTGGATGTTTTAAATTGATTTGTTTTAAACACGTGTTTAAAACTTTGTTTTAAAACGCATTTATTAAAATACAAATGTTTTTAAACAATTGTTTAAAACAACTGTTTTTAACATGTTTTAAAATGTTTTTTAAATCTTAATTTTAAAATTTGGGTTAAAAACTCATTAAATAATAAATATGTAAATTGACATTTTTATTAAAAATTCATTATTTTATAAATAGCAAATAATAACATAATATAACATAATAACATAATATAATTTAGGGCCACTGCCCACTGGTTAAAACTTTTATACTTTATAATAGTATTAGAACAATTGTATTTAATGGTAAACATAAATCATTTTAACTTTTTAAAATACAAGATACTAGTGTCTGACTACTCTGACTAGTGCATAAAAAAAAATTATATATTAATATTAAATAACAAATAATAGTTCTCAATTTAGAGACTTAAAAATGGTGACTATAACAAATAATAGTTCTTAATTTAGAGACTTAAAAATGGTGACTAATTTAGCTGCTTTTTCATTACCTAATCTATTTCTGATGTCTGTGTGAACAAGTCCAAAAGGTGTTGTTAATAGTATTTTATTTAGTTATACAAAAGTTGTTTATTGTATTACATGCCACTGCCACATAATTATAATATACATGTTGTTTTAAATTGTTTAAAAACATATTAAAAAACATGTTTTATTTTGTATTTTAACATATTTTATATCAAGAAAACACAATATGTTTTAAAACAATTAAAAACAATTAAAAACAATAAAAACATGTTTTTTGTTAAATATTATAAAAAAACGTTTTTTACCCAACCCTGTCAGACATACTGGTGATAGTAGGTACTATGGATGGTCATATTATAATTTATAATAAGCTTTACATGAAGTTGATTTGTACCAAAACCATCACTTGTATTATTTAAGAAATTCATAAGTTTTTGTGTTTTGATCTGCAAGTATATTTATTAATTTAACTAAGTTTTTTTGGTTTTTTTTTATTATAATGTCTCAATTTCATTTGTCAAAAATAAATTATTTCAAACATATCTTTCTTTAATTCACGTATTGATGATAATTTCGTAGGAGGATGAATTGTGTGTTTAAAGGGTTTTGTTTGATTTTTGATGCACTTAGTGTCATCATGTAGTCTAATTAACTTATTTCAGCATGTAAATTATCACAGTATTTCATATCTTTTCATATTGTTTTCATTATTTCTGGATGATTGTAATGATTTCTTCGATGCAGCCACAGCTTTAATTGAGTCAGGAACACAAAAATTAGCATTTTGTAACACTTGCTGATTGTTCAATCGGACCAAAAATATGTACTGCAATAGTAAAAAATGTTTAATGCTTTACTATCAGGTATATTATGCAAACCAGTAAATACTTCATTGATTTTAAATTTCTGACTTTCCAAACGTTTATATTTCTCAATAATTTACTGAAGCAATCCGTACAAAAAAATGTCTAGTACTAAATTACTCAATGCGCATAGGCAATATTATGTTATAATAATAAATAATAAAACTGTTGTGCACATTCTTGGGCCTCCAAATTTTGAATGTTATGTTTGGCCAATGTGTTGGGTTTAAGAAAAGCCTTTATATGTGGTGCTGTTATGCCATAACAATGTGTCAATATTTTATATTGTTATTGACTATGTTTGAATTTTGAAATTTGGATTTATTCTTTAATAATTACTCAATTATTTAAAATTTAAATTTAAAATTGTTCAATATCTGGTAATTCGGTTTAACAATAACTAAATGATAGAATGGGCTTTAATTTTAAGAAAATATTTATAGTATTTATCTTCAGTTGATTGTAACATTTCCTAATATTGGTATTATTAAACATATTACTAACTACAAAATTGAACTGACCAAATAAAATAATCACATGAATATTGTACAATAAAAAATTATTCATGTTTGGGTCAACCAGAATGTTTTATTTGGGCTTGGTTAATTTAGGTATTTTGAAAATAGAATCAGGGTCATCATTCGGGTTATATGGGTTTCAGATGTTTGATTTTTTAAGGATTTTAAATGGTGTTACAGGTCCTCGTTAATTTGGGTGCAATACACTGCATTCTACAGTTAAATATATATGATAGTCTTAATGGACGATTTAAGCAATGATATTTCTAATATATTTGTTAATTGTTATTATATGTGCTTAAAAAATAAAAATAGAATAATAAATAACAAATAAGAGTTCAAACAATTATGAATATGGAACAGTTAAATATGCTCTTTCTGATATCGTTTTTAAAATTAAGTGATTGTGAAACATAATTTTATTTTAAATATACTCTATCTTATTTTACTCGGGTAACTTTTGTATTTTACTTATATGAGCATACTATGTTATGCAATATATTATTACAGGAGATTTGAATTGTATTTTAATAATAAATATTTTAATGTTTGTTTAGATTTAAGACAAATCAATGAGTGAAGAATCGAATAAAAATATGAGTATCAGTAGTACAACAAGATTTAATGGGTTTAATTATTTACAGCATAAAAAAATCAAGCATCTATTTACAACAACAAATTAGAACCCACAAAATATGATTTAAAATATGGTGCTATTCATAGTTTTATTAGTTTAAATATTAACTTATAAGATTTAAAAATAATTTAACGAAACAAGCTAATATAAATAACTATAAACTTTGTTAAAGAAAAAAACTGCATTTTTATAATGATTATGTGTACTCTTTTAAATAATTACATACTAGCTTATATTATATTTTTGTTTGTTTATCCCAAAACAATTTTTTATAACTGTCATAGAAATGTTTTTATTTTAGCAATCCTTATGTTTGTAAATACTATAGGTTAAAAGTATAAAACCTTTATTAGTTTTTTTAAACTAACAATTGTACATTAAAAATTTAACTGTACAAACAAATTATAATTATAGCTTTTTTAGTTATTTAAATTGGATTTGTATTCAAATATGCATAGTACATATTACTATATTATTATGTACATTTGTGGATTACTCTCCAATAATCGATTCTAATCAAAATTTGAATTTAGATGGTGATTTATTTTAACACAAACATTTGTTCACAATTATTTAAAATAAAAACAAAATTAAAATTATGAATGTTTATTATTTTGCTATTGTACCCATATTATATATACACTACAAATCCAATTTAAAAATTAAATATATAATTATTTGTAATATTTTATTTACTAATAATAATCGGGATTTATTATTTCTATTAATTTATAACTAAATTATTATAATCATTCTAAATATTATTTACTCAAAGAAAATAAGGTAATTCCTTCAATATACATTTTATTTTCATTTGAAATTAATGCATGATTTATTTTATCAAATCTGGTATAAATCTAACATGTTATTTTTTCTTTGAGATAATAGTTATAGTATGCAATACTAATCATGATCTAATATATAATAATTTTATGTACTGTATAAAATATATTTTCAATTGTTTATCTTGTTAGTATTTTTTTTTAAATTATTATTATTATTATTATTAATTTATAAAAAAGTATTTACCAGTATGATATTATATTGTTATTTTGTATACATAATACATATGTATATAATATGTAAACATTTATACATTTTTATTATAATGTAATTCTGATGGTTTATATATTATGCTATTAAGTTAAGTTTAGGATTAGAAAGACTTTTGCGCAAATTATTTTTATAAATACATTATAATTAAACTTACCCACTGACAATGGTTTATTTTGATGACATTTTTCTAACCCTCTTTAATTTGATGCACTTAATTTTAACTGTGTTCAAAGTTTATGTCTCACAAAAATATTGTTGTTCTGTAGTTATACTATTCACAAGAATTAAAATAGTTTTTTTTTTTAAATTTTGTTGGTTAACAATTAAATTATTAACGTACAAACTTGACAAATTAACAAGACATAATATACCATTGTATAACAATATTTTTATTTTCAGAGTTCAGGGGGTACTATATAGTATCATAGATTATAAATATTACAATTTATAACCAATGATAGTATAAATGGATAATAATATATAAAATTAGACACTTCATACTAAATTATTAGTAATATGAATCACAGTTTATTTTCCTATCGTTATAGTTAGGTCTAGCATTTATTTGCAATACAAAATTGTAAAATATGCAAAAACAGTTTTTTTATCTTTTCATAATATTTAATAACTATTTATTATTATTCATAATGTAGTTATTATTACATTGAATATAATGATATTTTCTTACAAATTTTGAAACACGAATGACTGTCAAATGTAACAAAATATTAATATAAACAAAATAAAAATAATATTTATGTCATCTCATTGGTCATCTGGCTTAGATAAGGTAAAATAGGTAGTGAATTTACAGAAATTTGACAAACAACCCAATATTTATAAACCTTTATTAGATAAATAACTTTTAAGTTCATAAGATTTTTAAAAATCGAATTATACAATTAAATACATTATGAATTATGATTATGTATAAAAAAAGTTCTATTTAATCAAGAATAATCCAAATTTTGGATTCATCTGACAACCAATCAATTTGGTCTCAAGAAAAATAACGTGCAAATGGATAGAAATCTTAGCCCTAGTTATAGTATAAATGGGTACATACCATGTATACTAGGTATGAGATCTAGTCATTATATTGATATTTTTGTAATTATGAATAATAATTGTAAATAATTCTAATCAGATTTTTAATTAGAACAAATATGTATGACTACTTTTTATTATTACACAATTTGTACTTTAATAAAACAATAAAATACAAAAAAATTATTTTAAATTATAATAAAACAACACATTTATGATACATTGAGAATTCTTATGATATAGATTTAAATTTAAGTTATAATTCCATTTATTATGTCAGACATATCCAAGTCAACAGTATCACACTCAAAGTCAGACAATGTCAAACTATCGTCTTTAACTTTTCCCTTCATTATAAATTGATCCAAGGGACCTTGGACATTTTTTTTTGTAGGTTTTCCGTGTTTTTTAGAAATGTTCATTGAAGAAAATGTATTTGTTATATCAAGTAGATTACTATCATGGATTGTAACTGAAAACAATTAATTAATTTAAAAATAATGATTTATCTATATAATAATTGTAACATGGAATTGTATTTTATTTTCCAATGCTATTTGGATGGTAATCAAACAATTTGTTTGGTACAAAAAAAAATGTAATTACACATTTGAATTTGAGGCCATCTCAATTACTTTATACTAATAAGTACCTTAAAAGAATATTAAGTAACTATCAGTTATTGTGACTACCGCAGGCTAACATTGTGTTATATTATTTTGAGACAATTTTGTAATCTATTCAGGTATGTTTTCCCTGCAGCGTCTAGATGTAGTGTCACAACGCTGTACTGTTCCACTTTTTGCTGCAGGGCAACCGTACCTTAAGAGGACATCATACCCGCATGTGTTGTCTTTGCCATACACACGTACAACTTGGCAAATTTTTGTTCACCAGTTTCAATAGTTTGCTGTTAGTTATAACATTAGGATGAATTGACTTTTTATAAAATATTTAGGGCTGCGCATAGGCTTTTTTAAAAATTATTTTTAAGTAAGTTATAACCTTTTTGAAACTGTATATTCTAAAATAATAATATCAATAAAAGCCTATGTGGGGCTCTAGATAATAGGCTTTACTTTACTACTACCTAAGTTTTGTTAATCAGACTTATTTTATTATATTGTAATATAATGTCTTGCAGATTAAAAATTGCCATAAATAATGTAATGCAGTGATAACCTGTAGTAACTAATAAATAACAGAATTGAGTTTACCTAATGATTGTATAAGTAAACATAATAATTGATAACCAAGCAATAAATACCAAATATAAATATAAATTACTTTTTTTCTTTGTTTTGAAGATTCTAGAAGATGTATGCATGTCTTCATAGATTGAAACTTCATTTGGATATCTTCTTTGAACAGCTGTTTGAGGTTCAATAGATGTTATTTCATAATTATTCCATTTTATTTCATAACACTTTATTCCTTTATTGACACGTTTTTTAACAATTTCAGTCATTAAAATATTTGCTTGAAACTTATCATCATACATTAAATGCCACCTAGTCAGTAATGGCAAAAATTTATCTATTGCATACTCTCTTTCCCAACACAGTTTGGTCAATGCAAATTTCTATAACGTATTAAATATAAGTATTTAATTTATTGAACCTATGCAATTTAATATTTATATTTTCATATTTTTTACCTACAATAAAAGAATTAATGTCCGGTAGAATCCATTTTGCAGACACTTCTGGATAATTCGGAACATTTAAGAATTCTTCAATAACTGCTTCAGATGGAAAGCTTTGGTTTTCTATAGCTTTATTCCTTATTTTCAACTCTAGCTTTATTTCATCAGTCTGTGATTTAATATCCATGGCAGCAGAATTTAAACCTGGGTCATTTCTCCAATTTCTCAAACTTAAAATTAAATTTGAAAAATCAGTAATACTAAAGAGAAAATAAGGAATACAATTTATGATTACCGATCAAGGACAACATCATCATCTAGTGTTTGAAGAAATTTAATTGCAGTATCTTTTCCAACGCCCATAACACCTTTTTCATCATAATCACAACCACATAGCAATGATAAAGCTATCATTTTGTTGCGCCCAATATTTAGATTTTGTTCAATTGATTCCATGCAATAAACATCAATAGATCCATTTCCAGAGGCATTAAAGTTTCTATAAACAACACGAGCACCATATAAAAAACAATCGCTATCTTGAGTGATAATTCCATTGACAATCTGAAATTGAACAATTATTTTTAAGTTCATATTTTTTTATTATCATCTGGCTTTGAAAAATAAATCTTGCAAAAATTACAATACCAATTAAAAAATAAAAAACGAAAAAACAGATATGTGTCAGTAGTAGAAACCAATGATATACACAGCAATTCACAATGGTTGGGAGTGATGAAGTATAAAAAGTAAATGTTATATATAAAGACATTTTTAATATGATTTTATTAATTTGATATTACTTTATAATATTATAAATAGAATGAATTAATCTCTAAGGGATTTAAAGTATTTTGAAAATTGTATCAAGTATAAAAAATGATAAGCTAAACATATACTGAAAACTTATAGTATCTACGGTTATTTGTTTTTGAATTACAACTAAATAAGAAAACCGCTCCATAAGAAATCGAGTTAATATTTATGTTGTAAACATTTGAACTTTAAACATTCATAAAAATTTTATTTTACTTTTCTGTAAACATTTGTTTTTCTGATAAAGGTAGACAACTTATGTTCTAAATCTTAGATATAAAACAACATTTTTTTATGAATTTTTAAATCAAAATAATTTGCAAATTTTCTGAAATCTTTTTGTGATTTGCTGTGACCTCATTTTTCCTTTTCTTTTAACACACACACACACACACACCACTTTAATGCACATCCACGCATGCACCTAAATATAAATATATTTAAACTATTAATTATTAGTAACCAATTAATCATTGTGACAATAATTTCTTAGTACACAATGTATTATTAATATTTTTCCAAATGTTATAAAAATAGGTATGTTGTTGCCCTAATATAACATAATGATGGTTGAACGGAAGCTGGCCAATCTCACTGCTTTTAAAATTTCTCACAGAGGCAAATGTCCACTTCTCCTCCCTTCCTTCCCTCCCCCCCCCCACAAACTAGTATGACATACAACATGTATCAACATACTAAAAATAATACATACAAATGTACAACTGACGTTATATGTTTAAGTTCTAAAAACTAGTAATTTATTAGCTATATAATACCAACCCCGTTTTTATTGAGTATAGCACATAGCTGTTCTGCTTCTCCGTGACTATAAACGCAAGTTACTCCCATGATATTCAATAACAATTCACACTGAAAATAATTATTAAATTAAATGAGATGTTTATAATTCCTATAACTTAAAATATTCTATAACCATAAACCAATGTAGATTATAGTGTTCTGCCAATTCTAAATATACTTATATTATATATATATTCTAAATATAATTCTGTTAAATTTACCATTATAAATTAGAATACTAGTTCTTATAATCACTGAATTCGTTCACCAATTTTTTTTTTTTACAACAATGTAATCAATCATTAAATATATACTTACTTGTTTTTGTAATGAATTTAGTCTTTTGCGAGTAATATTATTCTTTATTGGTGCTTTATTTCCATTAATACGTTTTTCTATAACACCTTTTTTTAAAAGTGGTGGTTCACCATCCAAAACAAATATTGGTATGGCTCCAATTAACAATAAAGTAGAAGTACGAAAAAATAAGTTCCTGGAAAAAAAAAATTATAATAAATAAATAGAAAAAAATATAAATAAAGAGGCTTGGGACAATAGCCTAATAGTGCTAAAGAACTCTTAACACTAAAGAGAAGGGACAAATATTTGGTTAGAACCTAACCTAAGCTTAAGAGATTTGAAAAAAATGTTGGTGAAAGCAGTGTTAATAAATTATTTGAAACTATTAAACATTAGTCCTAATACTTGAGAGGAGAACTGGGTCTTTGATTATTGTGTGAGAATTGTGTAATGCAAAATGTTGGAATTTTTAAATATGGTACATAGCAAGTTGATATCACTACTACAATATAGCTATAGTTAAAACATAGTTAGATGGTTTAACTAGTTAATAGATATAATTGAAACAGAAATATTGGAATAATTTAGTGAACTGAATTTAAAATTGAAAGATATAATCATTGAGTAATATATAATATAAAATTCAATGATATAATGTAAGTAGGAAAAGTTATTTAGGTAGATGTTGTAGATCAGTTAACTTTACATATTCCTAAAATGTACAAGGGTAATATTATTTAGAGTTTACCTCAAGTACATGTTTTTTTGGCTTATGTTGTGATTTAGATTTTCACTGTCACACACCCATCCACTTAAATCTATGCCAACTGCCTTGCCGTGCAACTCCCAAAGAGGCATTTTTTCTGCCACTGGAGTTAACAGTGACCAAAGACTTTTTACACCCATAATTAAAGGAGCAGCACAAAATTATCAAAGAACAGATCAGAAAGTGACCACTAAAGCTTTTTACATTATTTATAAACCACTAAAAATATAAATTTTTAAAAGTATTAAATTAAATATAATAATTAAAAGGTTTATATATTATTCTATAGCATTTTGAATCAAATTTATTAATGATATTTAAAAATTAATAAGAATCGAAAGCCACTTGAAGTCTAGAAACAGCCAAAACTCAAAGTAAGTTAAAAATTAAAATGTCATAGTACAAGCAGTATTGTAACCATTTAACTTCTAAATTATATTTAAATTTTGTATCAATTAATGAATAAATAATTGTTAAATATCACTATATCGGTGGCCAAACAAATAATCTACAATTGAGTACAACTAGTACAAGAACAATTTAAAAATTTTAAATATAACGATTTGTGAATTTGTGATTGTGTTTTGAATTTTTGATGTTAAGAAGGTGAGGTTATACTATATTATTGTTCTATGGTAATACCACCACAGTTCCGGTTACGAATGTTGGTTCCCGCTCTGGTGGCGTTATCTACTGTACAGTAGAAGCGGATGTCAGATACTAGAAAGCATGGAACACGGACTAAGATTAACATATATATAAATATTATACTTTAATCCACAGATATCTATATAATATAGATATCTGTGTTTTAATCCGTGGATGGTCTATATCAGCCACAGATATATAGAATAAATATATAATATAAATAAAGTTTATTCTATATATCTGTGATATCAGCTGTGTGGATGGTAGTTTTGACGTCATGATAACATATTCAATTAGTGATAAGGATATCTGGTTTCAAAACATAGACCACGATCATGAATTAAGATATATCTTAATTCATGACCACGATTAAAGATATATTGAATATATATATATATATTAAATATATATATTTTATCCACGCTTGGAGCGTTAGTAGTTTTTCTCGCATGGTTGATCAGCTGTTTAAAACCAACATTTTAGCGCACCACTTTTGATGTGTATGTGCATAGGGTCGTTGAGTAACCTGTATATCTTTAATCGTGACATAGACCTTATACTCAGTATAAGCATAGATATTGTTCTATGGTATAAGTTAATAATCAAGATTTTCAAGGAAGAATTTGGAGTCTATCGATACGTATCGAGGCAATTTTGAGCGTTCAAGAAGTTACACGTGCAGTTGTATACAAGCGATACGCACCGACCCATATCGGACTCGGACTTCGATACGAGGTGGTGCGTATCGATACGTATCGAATTTTTCTTCTTGAAAATCTTGATTATGTTTAAAACACGATATTTTGGTTCGTGTTCCAAACAAAGCGATTCGTATATGAGATGACGCATTAACGCATAGTTGTAGGTTTTTAGTGAAAAGTCGCACTAATGTTATTAAATTTCCTTAAATAAATTACGGCGTACTGTACTTGTACAATGTTGCACTAGGTATTGTATGTCTTAAAATACCAAATAGTAAATTCAAAACTGTGTTTCATTTTTAAAACCCATAATTTTGAATGTGAAATATTGTTTGTTTGAAACCAGTAAATCTTATCTCGGTGTAGTAAAATAATCGTTACGCCACACTACCATACGGCATACTCCATTGGAAAAAATCTTATCCTAGACATATAAATATAATATTTAAATGTCAATGAATCTTATAAAAATGTCGGATATAAAGAGCTTAAGTTTGAAAACTTATAACAAAATGTAACAGTATTATGCATTAAGGTGAATGGGAATTCGCCGTTGCATAATGAAACATATTAATGATTTATTAGCTCCTATTGTTGATTGTTTAAAATATTATTTACAGTAGAAACTCGATTAATCATGAATGGCGGGACCGGGACAATGACGGTTAATCAAATAGACGGTTAACAGAAATACAATAATACAAAACAATTTTTCAATAAACCTATATATTTTACAACGTAATTTCCAGACAAAAATAATAAATATAATAATAATAGAATAATAATAAATTAATAATGATACATAATACGTGTGTAATAACATAAAGAATACCATTCTAAAAAATATTAAACAAAATAATTCGTCATCTTCTGTTTTTTTGATTCACGAGCTTTTTGAGCGGCCATGTTTCGTATTTTACGAAGAAGTAAGACCTGCATTGCACTTGCCTCCTCTTGTACCTCAAACCAATCAATGCATTTTGATAACATTGCTTCTACTTCTGTGGCTAGTTGATGGTTTTAAGTCAAGCACTGAATCTTCGACGTCGTCATCAACTTCTTCGTCAACGGTAGTGACATTAAAAATAATTTGATCATCATTTTATCATCACTATTCACTATTTTTATACGTATGAATCGTAATATCGTATGATAGTCGTCGCGTTAGGTACCGTGACGATTTTATCGCTATCGCTTTACACATAAACTTTTTTTTTGACGGTGACCGATGACGGATAACAGAAACTGACGGTAAATCGAGTTTCTACTGTACCTAGTAACGTATTTAAGTCACCAAATAAAAAAAGGACAACTTGCTCAAAATTCAAAATTTAAATTATTTTTTTCATCACAACAGAATAACTGAGCAGAGGTTCACTTCACAAACATCGAAAGTAAAGGATGGCTTAGACAACAAAATTACTAAGTATATACTTACTCGTATAATTTTTATGAGCGTAAAAGAAGACGAATTTCAAAAGTATGGTGAAAGTTGAACTATATTTGATGATATTGTAGAAGGGTAATTCAATAAATTTGAATCATTCACTTTCCCATGCGCAGAACATAAAGTCCGCATTATTTTTTATTCGCTGTTATAGCTTGGTGCCATAGTGCACTAGGTACTTAGTGCTCGTCGAAGTTGAAGCATTTTCGGTGTTTACGACCTCTCGCAAATATGATCCGTTATAGCGACAATATTGATATCAATTTTCCCTCAGCGTCATGTAAAGTATGCGAATGCGACAGTACTCAAGACAATCAAATCAAGAAAACTTGAAAAAAATTATTCAAATTTTGTAATTCATAACAATATTTTATACTACTAATTTAACTGTAATTTAAGGATTCTGGGTATTTTTGATTATTTAATAATATTTATTGGTTTTAGATTCTGAGAGGAGCGATGAATGTATTGATTTTACAATGACGTGTGTTTTTATATTTATTTATTTATTTTTTATTTTTTGTGTCTGTCATCACGATTTATTGTAGTATAAGTGCAACGATTATCTTAAATAGCACCGTTTCTGGTTGGAATCTAGTTGGTGCATTCGGCAGGTCAAAATGTAAAATTCCCAATAGTTTTCAAAAGCAATAGGAAAAACAAACAATAAATTAAGAGAAACAGGAAATTTTAATACAAAATCATTTTTTGAAAAAATCGATTTCGGTTTTTAGTGTAAGTGCAACTCTAGAAAAAACAACCGCAGATACATGCAATTTTTACTGAATATTTGTGTGAGCATTTTCTATACACCGTGCAATTTTGAAAATATTTTAATTTGTGTTAAACTATTTATATACCTACATATTAAATTTTCGATTATTTGTTTTATTTAAACTCAAGTCGATAAAAAAACTTTTGCTCGGTCAAAAATCTTGAAAATGTAATACAAGGTTCCTTATGAGTTATTGTTAATGGAAATTTAAAAAAAGAGTAAATCCACACTTTTTTTTTGAGTGTTTAAATTTTGAATTGTTCAAAATTCGTAAAAATCACAAAAATTAGTAAATTATATTTAGTTAGAAATTCATAAAAAATTTTCTTTTTATATCTGAGATTTTAAAATTTAACACAAGTATCCTTACAAGTTTGTCTACCTTTATCAAAAAAAAATTTCTACCGGAAAGTCAAATTAAATTTGTATGAGCGTTTGAAGTTGAAATTTTTACAACATTGGATATTCACTCGATTTCTCTAGTAATGATTTTCTTATTTTGTAGTAATTCAAAAACGAATTACTGTAGACACTTGAAATATTTTACACCAAATGTTTATTTCATTAATTCATATACTTGAAAAAACTTTCAAAATATTTTGCCTTGTTTTAAGCTGTTAACGGATATTTCCAATTTTAATTTTTTTTTTTTCTATAAATGTCAATAAAATTGTATTGGTTGGGTCAAAAATCATGAAAATGTAATATAAGACTCTTGAGTCTTGATAACTTGTTACAATAGCAGTTAAAAAATATCAAAAATACATATGCACGATTTTTTTTATAACCATTTAAATTTCAAATTTTGACAATATTTATAAAATTGAAAATAATTTTATAGTTAAAAATTAATATAATAGCTAAGGATTAAAAATTGAAAACAAGGTTCTATATAAGCAGTTTTTTCCGTAACCAAGAAAAATAAAAAATATAAGAATACAGTTATTTTTGACAGACTTTTTAACTTCAAATTTGGACAAAATTGCATATTAACACAAAGAATAACGTTTTTCATTTTGTTGTAATTCGGTTCCAAAACAGCCCAATTTTACATAGGTATACTTAATATTTTTCCAGCATCACTGATAATTTGAGAATAATATTAATTTGGCATATATTTCATAATAATATCAGGTGGCCATATTAATAATAAGTTATAACAGTATAAAATATCCTAAACTGGCATACCGTCTATGCTCTGCAGAATCGTTTTTCGTATAAAATGACATATCATTGAATTCAAATTTAATACTATCCATTACAGGGGTCAGGGGTATTCCACCTAAAAGTCCGGCGAACAAAAGTCCGATGTCATGAAAGCCCCACGAAAAAAAGTCTGAAATTTAATATATATTATCGTTTTTGGCGATTTTATTAAGTTGGTCACCTAATCTTTACCTACTATTATCTTTCAGTATTAGCCATTATAGGAGTCTAACTATATATTATTATATTTTGTTATAGATTATCGCTTAAAATGGAAAGTCATAAATAACAAATTTATTACACCTTATCTTTACTTATTTTTCATTTAAAAAATGAATTTAACTTGGTTATTTTCCCAAATGCTCAGTCAATGTTGTAACGTATACGCTGTAACCGTAAGTCGTACATTTTGTACTATTTCAACGTTTTTATTAGTGTTTTAAAATTCAACTCTTATGAAAATGAGTGAAATGTTTAAATTAAAAACAAAGGGTGATAATATAAATAAAATAGTGTAAGGGGGTTTTTCGTACACTATACAACATAAACAAAGAAATAATTTAAGGTGGAAATGTAGCATAAAGATTAAATGCAAGTGTGATGCAGTGTTATGTACATCAAAAGACATCCAAAATCCAAAATTAATACTACAACACAATCATGCCAGTGATAAGAATACATTGGAAGTAGAAAAATTCAAATGCAAAATAAAAAATCGTGCTAAATTATCATACAATAAACCAAATCAGATTTTTGCTGAGGCGGTTAGTGATCTTCTGCATGAAATTTTAATGAATATACCTCACGAAAGTGCTGTTAAACGTGTTATTCAAAAGCAACGTAGCAGTTTAAATCCTCTTAAACCTACTTCCTTAGAAGATATTGAAGGTATACTTCGCTTATTTTTAAACTATTTATAGTAATTGGAAATATTCGTTTTTTTTTTGTAATTGTTAATTTTTTGGTTAAAAATGTCTTCAAAATGCTATACAATGTTACAGTACCTATTATCATTAAGTATTATAATATTAATATTTAATATACATAGTATGTATATTGATATCATGTGAAATATTAATGATAATATTTAATTTGTATTTTAGGCTATTGGTCATTGTATGAAGGAAGACAATTTTTACTATACGACAACATGGACTTAAACTACGAACGCGGAACGAGTTATAATTTTCGCTGTGGATGAAGGACTTAACATATTAACAGAGGCAAGTACTTGGTATTGTGACGGAAATTTTAACCTCAGATATAATTAATATACGAAATACCTATTTTTCCATTGTAAAACGTTCTCACGAATAAAAACAAACGCCAATACCAAACTGTGGAGCCGTGGAAGGAGCAATAAAAATGAAAAATGTAGGGTGAGTTGATTTTATAATTATAACGGTTTTTATGATTGATTATCAACTAATGGACACTACTATAGTTAATATTATTATATTATAGAGTTGCCCCTGCCGTGTCCTAATACTAGCACTATGTCAATCTTTAAAAAAATTATCAAAATTGTACGAAAAACCTCATGTAAATTGATTAAGTATAGTTTATGTATAAAGATATTATTATTTTATATTATGTATAGTATCGTATTATCTAATATATAAATGTGAAAATGAAAACCTTTGAGTGATATGTTGTCGGAAACTACTGAACCGATCGTTATGATTTTTTTTTTTAATTGAAGAGCTCATTGCGGAGAAGGTGTATGGCATTTGATCGATTCTTTAACTTTAAAAACAAAGGTGTTATCAATTATCATAAATAATGACCTGTTATGTAGACTTAGTGGGTGAGGTTCGCGGTACGGCAACGGACGGCAGCTAGACGTGGCCGCCCAAACTTCCCCTTCTATATCACCAAATCGATCAAATGTTATAAACCTTCTCCGCAATGAGCTCTTCAATTAAAAAAAAAAAAAAATCATAACGATCGGTTCAGTAGTTTCCGAGAACATATCACTCAAAGGTTTTCATTTTCACATTTATGTATTAGATGGATAGATATTATTAACAATATTCATGATTTTCCTATTAACGAAAATTTAGTTGAAGCACGACGTGTTCCATGGCGTCGCCGTGAAATGTCGGCATTTACTGATGATAATTTAATAGATTATAAAAATGATTTCACGTTATCATAGGAAATATGAATTTAAAATGTAATTATTGTCATGCATTGAAATGGTCCAAAGAGCCTGCAGGTTTTTGCTGTTCAGGAGGTTAAAAATATTACCTTTAAAAAAAACCTTATTGAAGTTGAAATTCTTACCGGCTCAGCGAGTGGTCAAATTGTATGTATCCCAAGAATACCAATGATAACAAACGAGTACCCCTTCGAATTTAAACGTGTCCAATTTCCCGTTAAACTTTGATTTGCTATATCAATTAATAAGGCACAAGCACAGACAATGAAAGTTGCAGGAATTGACATCAGCGATCCATGATTCACTCACGGACAATTTTATGTTGCCAGATCCCGTGTAAGCTCAGAAAAAAACTTATACATATATGCCCCTGGTGAAAAATTAATAATATAGTTTATAAAGAAATATTGGTTAATCGGTAGTTATGTAGCATTTTTCCAAAATAATAGAAATTACTTTTCAAAAAACGTAGTTTTATTTTTTAAGTTTAGTACCCTAACTTTATGTCTTATCGATAATTATGAATTTAAGACGGTAAATAAAAAATGATATAATACATACAATTTTAAATCGTTGTTTTAGAAGTCAACTATAGTCATCACTAGATGACTTATACTATATAGATACTAGATATACATATACTTACTGTATATTATACTATTTATACTATAGATTATAGAGTGTAGCCGTGTAGGTACATTCATATTTTATAAATTACCTGTACACAAACGGGAACCAATTCGGCTCAACCTAAGAAAATACCTTTTTTAAACGGGAACTAATTCGGCCAAACGGGAACCAATTCGGTTACTCCCGGTAAATGGTAATACATGGCGTTATCTTATTTGTCACGAATTTGTTTCCGGGCAACGCCGGGTAATTAAGCTAGTTTTATTTATATATATATAGATTATAGCTATATTGGTATAATATACTCGTAATGTATATTTTATATATTATAGAAATATTAATACAATTTAGTAAGCATGTAGGTATGTAAGAGTGTCAGGGGTGTAGTAAATAAATCGATGTAGCTGTTGCTTTGTTGGACCGGGACGAATAGTTTTTCGATCAATACAGCGAAATTTGGAGGAGAGAGGCGACGAGTTAAGTTAGCCGGTCGTATGACTGGTAGTGACTGTGGGGTGGTTTGGTGGGTGATAGCCGAAAAAGGAGTGCCACCTGTATTTCTGCAAGATAAGGCTCAAGAATACATTTTTTTTTTTCATTGAACTTCTAAGAATTTTACAGTGGTTTTTTTATTGTGAATTAATAAAAAATATGATACATTATGTAATATGTAAAGTAAACTTATTTATATTAAACTTAAATTTAATAGTAAAAAAAGTATAATCCGAAGAAATCGTTTTTTTTTTTATTCAAAACTATGTATTTGTAATGCCCAACTTCAAAATAAAATATAATTTATACCATTTTATGGTAACCAAAAACCAGTAGTTATATTTTTCTTTTTCCAATTCTGTTTGATATATTGTGTAACCATTAATACAAAATAGAATATATTTTAAATCTGTGGTTTTGAGAAAATAATAACTTTAAAGTGACAATAAAATAATTCATAAGTTACTTCATGACGTGGAAAAATTTGAACACATTAAGTTAGAAATTACTTTCAAAAAGAGTAACTCGTTGTGCGACTTAGTTCAAAGTAGTAACTTAATTTTTTAACTTTACTTGAACTTTTTAATTCATTAATGAACAGTCTTGCATAATTATGGTGTGCTAGTTTGAAAATAAGTCATTGGGTGGGGGGGGGGGGTTACCTATTTATGACCTATATCTATTCGATATTTTTGCAAGCTCATTTTTAAGGACTAGTATCCTTAGTGTAAACATTTAAAGAACTGAAAAACTACTAGTTTTAAGTTTGAATTAGGTAGGTTCTTACATCAAAGGGAGTTCTCAATGGGGAAATCGAGGTTTATATCGCTATGGGACATTGCTTAAGTAATATTAACAATCTCAGAAATTTGAAAATATGGTGTTAAAATGATTCAAAAACACGGAATTTGAATGTATACCTATTTAAGGAAAAATGGGAGTGATTTCGGTAAGAGACCATGTAGTTCACAGCGTAATGTCGTGCGGGGAAAGTGTTTCACACAATCACATGACATATCATTGTCTATAGTCTAGGTTACCAATAACCAAGCAATGCCAACACCAGTGAGTAATATTCCTCCCTCGGTTCTCGATAACACGGAAAAAAAGGTTACCAATTACCAAAAGGAATATCAATAATTGATGCGCACAGCATGGCTGGGGTACAGGCCAGGGCACACGCGGCTGCGCAGAGCGTTCCTGGTTATACACTCATACGACACACGTCTGAAATCGGAATGCCTGCCGCTGCCGCCTGCCATTACATTTGATAATCAACATGGCGGCATTTGTTGTCTGGTGCTCGTAGCTGCAACAAGTCGCATCTGGTTGTTACATAATATAGAAATTAGATCGTTGTCCGGCTTTCCGCATTTCAAAAAAAAAAAATAAATACGTGAGTTCAAAATAATATTACATTTTTGTCGGTTCGTTTTATCGTAGTATTTATAATTGTATTATGTGATCGATTTTGGAGGGTGTTTTTTAATTGTTTCGGAAATTAATTTCGAGCATCGGTATTGGATCGAGTTCCACAAATTATTTACAAACTTACCTACATGATTATTATTAATTATTGTAATAATAATTTTAAAACATAAATATTGTTGAATAATGCATTTATTCATTTTATTCGCTGCTTGTTTGTTAATACTATTCCAAAACGTGTACCTATTTTTGGGTTGGCTTAATGCTAATTACTGGTCGTGCATTGAAATTATTTATTGTTGTGTCCAGTGAATTAATATTCTAATAATTTACATAATAAATCAATCATCTCTGTTGTTACTTGGTTAACATTGACTTGATAATCGTCATGTGTATTATCATATTTTGCTTTTAGATTGTTGTGTGTGATTTATGTGAATTTGATTCGTGATCGATATAAAACATTGGAGAATGCCTAAACGAGGAAAAGAGCCGAGACCGTCAAGTCGTCATTCTGGTGGTCGATTTTCACCACCACCACAACCACCGCGACAACCTAGAAATGATTATCAAATTGCAGGATCTTCACGTTCAACGTAAATATATTAAAAATACTCATACTTTTTATTTACATTTTTATTATTTTTGCTTCAAGTATAAGTAATTTTACTTTTTTACCCCACATATAACAATGTTACATTTAAAATTGTAGAATTTGTTTTGTACTTATTTTTGGGTATAGAAATGATTTTATTATTTTTTATTCATCTTGTTCTCTTTGAATTTATAAAGATATGTTCTAGTTGAAAAAAACCCCCACATCTACAGATCAAAAATAAATTATAAGAAATACCTTGTACCTATATTTGTGATTTATTTATTTAAAATGAAATCTTTATCTAGTCATAAAAATGTAGTTATTATTTTTGTATCTAAAGTAAGCATTTAATTTGGAACTTATAATGTATTGGAACATTTTAAAAATCACTCTTGGTATAAATTAATCTATGATTGACAACATATAAATACATAATAATATGTAATATCAAATATATGTAAAGATCAAATTGAATCAAATATGAACTTACAGCATTGCATGTTAAGATATTGTAAATTAATTTTACACCAGTATAAAAATGTAGCACCTACATTTTGTATTTTTTTGATGACGGTTTTATTAAAATATCAAGGATATTTTATTTTATTTTTAATACCTGCTAATATTTTTTAAGCTTGAGTTTTTTTCTTTATTTATAATTTTTTTTAATTTGTAGATAATTAGTTTACGACTACTAAAATGTGTGGCTAGTAATATTAATAAATGGCATATTAGTATTAACAAGACTGATTTGACTTTGATTTCTGTAGGTAATTAGTTTACAATTACTAAAATGTATGGCTAGTAATTATTAATAGATGGCATTTCAGTCTTGTTACTAATTTTCAAATGTATTTATTTAACAAAGTATTTACTTGGTGTAAATTTTATTTGAAATAAGTACTTATTTTAATACTTTCAAAACTATGCATTTGGATATAAATACAAATACTTTTTTTTTAGTTCATTAAATTTGATATTGAAATATTTGTATGTTAGTATCAAATAAATGAGTTCCTACATAAACTTAAATAAATATTAACTATTTAAATTAAATAGTTAATACATATGTACTTTAAGTTTCAATAATTCCAGATATTATACCCACTAAAGTTTTTAGGTAATTACTAGGTTAATCAGATAAACTTAAGCTAGGTAGATATAAATTAAAGAATTTCTGTCATCTCCTTACTTAATGATAACTTACTGATTCTTAACACCATTGTAAAATATTATTTTAGAAATAAAATTTAAAATAGTATAACACAAAAATATTGCTGATTAAAATAAAAAAAAATATTTGAATACTTAAAAAGATTAATGGCATGATAGAGTTTGGGTTTTGAAGTTACCCATTGGTAATACCACACAACTTAAATTATGATAGAATTTTGCGCACAAACTTAGTTTTAAAGTTATAGCTAATCAAAGTTTTCAGTTCATGTCATAAATTCAATACCCTCTATGTTATGTCATGCTTTACTTGTATTGCCTACTGGTAACTTAGAGGATACCACATCCACATTTGAAGTTTCCGTCATACCAAAAAACAACATAGCAAAATCTGTTATGCACGGGGTAGAACCACTCAGGCTGTAGTCAAACCTAAGCGACCATATTTTCACGCTAAAGAAAAGAGAACATTTTCAGAGCAACATCATTTTTTTTTTCGATATCAGAAATTCAAAATAGTTTTTCAAGTTAAAAATAATGAATTTTTAATCAATAAGAACTTTTTTGGTATACATGTAAAAATTATTTGACAGAGGTTGTAAATTAATGCCTAATAATTATAATACATGATAATTATTACATAAATTCAATGTTTTTGATAAAAATTACTTTAATCTACCATATATTTCTAATGGTAAAATAAATTATTAAATATTCTTAGAAATAGAGTCAACTGAATTACTGAAAATCGTTTGTTAGCAATATTTATCATTAATTAAATACATTTTAACACATCCATTATACCAACTCAATGACAAGATATTATGCTTAAATGTAAAAACCTTCTGTATAGCAGAGCAACTTCAAAATAAAATAAAAACCATATTATGGTAACAAAAAATCAGATTGGAATTTTAATAAAAAAATGAATAATTTATCCTAATTAAATGAATTTCTCCAAAATTTCTTCAGTAATACTTGGACTCAATTTTCATGATTTATAGTTTTTCCTGTGTTTAATGAAATATTTATCAAATAATCTTATAATAGGTACTTTAGAGAACGCCATAACCGGATGGGTTGTCTCCATCTTACAAATGTGTAACATAACCAAATTGTACATTCTGAATAATTCATTTAACTCTGCTTTGTTTAATTTTAGAGTAAATTGACAAATTACTAAATTTAAAATTATGAATATAGTCTAATTGATAACATGGATTTTTTTTTTTATTTCAATTTTAAAGCGAGTTATGAGCATTTTAAAATGTACAAATAATGTGTTATTTTAAAATGCTCATAACTTGCTTTATAATTAAAATATCCATATCATCGATTAGGTGTGATTAGGTTATTTCTAAATTTGGTAATAGATCAATTCACTCTAAAATTAAATATAATAGAGTTTTTGTAAGACGGAGACAACTCAAGCAGGTCCTCTTAAAAATATTGCTTAGTTATTGATCAAGTACATTATTGATCAATAATGTACTTTGACATTTGTTACTAGGAAATAATGCTGTTAAAACTAAATGACTTGTACTGCAATACATTAATAAAATATAATTTGTATCAATCAAATCATTTGTATTTCATCTTATAAATTTTTGGTTGTAAGGATAAAAATTAGAGATGAAATACTATTATTGAATCACTGTACATTTTTTTTTATTAGACAAACAATTTTCTAAATGTCTTAATTATTGTAGATTTTTTTTCAAATGTCTAAGATTAATCAAAATGAAAAATATTAATTTTGATATGATGTATATTTTAAAACAGACATATTGTTTATTATGTATCAAACATTTTTATTTTTTATTTTGTTTAAAATTATCAGTTAGATATTGTTATTATTTTACTCTAGCTACTTCTACCAAGTCATCAAAAGTGCATTTACAATTGTATGATTATGTTTTTAAAACTGAGTTGAGCTTAGTACGTAGAACCTAAAAGCTTGCGCTTTATTACATTTGTAATAGTTTTTACCGACATATATTTTATCAAAAAACAAGTTATTACAAAATATATTTACTGATCAATACCACATTTTAAATATCATTGATATTTGTATAGGTGTGATTCTAGTTCTGGAACAAGATCACCTCATACCAAAGATAATATCAAAAAATCTAATGGAAATGTACATTCTGGAAACACTCCCAGAATACATAATATGTTAGTAAATTATTTTAAACATTTAGGGGTTTATGTTTACACTAAACTTAATATTGTGTGTCACTTTAGGAGAGTAGTTAATAGTCCAATCATATTAACCGATGATGACGATGATGATGATGATGACAGTGTGTATAAGAATTTAGATACTTCTGTGAATATATTTCGAGAAAATGGAAATAAATTGAAACCTGACACATGCGAAGGTGCAAGTATTGTGAAACATTTCGTACCTTCTGCTGATAGGTATGGCTTACATATGATAATATTGTGTGTAAAATTAGTGTATAATATCTTAAATTAAATGCTAAGATCATAAAAAAATATTTACTAAAATTAAATTTGATATTCCTATGCAAAAGAATCAAAACTAATGAATTATTATGAAATAAAAACCTAAATATTATTTTTAATACTTAGACAATATAAGTTAGGCATCTAAAATATAATATAAAAAGTCATGCAATCAGTAAGTCTCCCTATGATAATTATATTTTATAGTTGGTTATTATTCATAATGCCATGGTTATCACTATGGTAATCATATTTTATAGATGATTATTATTCATTATGTCATGTTTGACTCTAATATTCTATTAACCATATTATGTGTTATCTAGTTATCATAATAATTAATAGGCTTACTAGTTAAATAAATCTAAATTTATTCAAATTTGAGTATGTATAACCTGAATATACTCTTTAATTTTCCAATCACAGATTGGCAACTGGCGGACTATGTTCCTCTTTTTATCTGGCCCTTGTTAAATTTTCAAAATACAATTTTAACATTTGTCTGTATTTTTAAATTACATTGTTTGTAAAAAATAAATTCTTACAATATTCCTATGGCAGTAGGATTGAAAAGCAAGATGCATCACTTTAATTAGAAATAAGTTAGCTGCGAAAAAATCCATAACTATCTAAAAAAAAGTGATTTAAGCGTGCTTTATGAAAAAGTTTCCACTTTTCAATGTTTTATCCATATTTCATTTTTGCATTAAAAATGTTATTTATGCTCTGGTCTGCTAGATTTCATAATTCTAAAAATCGATTCTCTATACACCGGCCCACGAAAGATAATTACCATGCCTGCCCGAAACATGTTCTTTTCTGCTCATCCCTACGTATTTGGCATACACTGAATGGCACAAAGTGGGAAATTCCGCCAGTCTATATGCTTGAAACAGTCATGTTCTTTCGCCGGCCGGGGTATAATAACTTAGAGCTGCAAACTATTGCCACCGGAAAAGTTTTTACTGGACAACCTAACACCCTAATGCGTCGAATAATCCAAAACATGAACAATAATGAATAGATATATTAAAATAAAAAAAGCTTCACTATATTAAATTGAAATATCCTTTATACTTAAGAAAGAAAATAGTGTGCCATAACAACCACTAAATACTTAAAACTTATTTATTATGTAAATTGAATTTCAATAAAATATTGTAAATGTGATTTTTATATTTATTTTGACCAGCAGAGTTTTTAATTTTTACATGGCCCTTGAATAAGTTTGGATCCCCTTAGTAGTATAGGATATCACACTGTTATAACTATATTTCTGTTATCTATGTAGGCCGTATTAGCTCCGTACATTTATTATTGTGATAAAGAAAAAATTAAAGCTGAATCATTCTTTTTTGTTTCTGAAATTGGATATTAAAACAAAATAAAATGTATTTTTAACACAATTTAATGTATGTGGGTGTTTTTTATATGATAACAACAAAATGTTGATTTTATTAAAATTAAAATATAATTGGATGTTATCGACAATTTTTTAAACAATTATCATTAATTTGCTGTCAGTGGAAAATGATTTATTAATAATAATATTCTTTTTCATGAGATAATGGGACTTTGTTCAGAATTAAACTAATCGCTGCTGCGCATCTCTTACCAAAACACATATGGTTGTAACAGTCATTCAACAAGCATGAAACAGTTTTCTCGTGAAAATAACTTTGTTATTATCCCTGGTTTTTAAATAATAAATAATAATCTTTACTATTGATTTTAAGCCTATACTTGAATTAATTGTTTTATATCCTAACAAATTAATAATTTAATAAAGAAATGATTAATATATTATACTGTTATGTTTGGATGAATTGTGACAGAAAAATATAACTAATTTTAATTGATGAAAAGCTTTTTATAGAAGTGCAATTGATTTATATAAGGGAAAAATTTGACTCTACATATTTTCTAAATTCATTATTGTTTTTTAATTTTCATAAATTTTTTATATGTGGCCATACTGAATAAATTTGAAATGCAATGTTATTTTTTATAACTCATAATAATTGAGAATATTTAAATAGTTCATTGGTATATTTATGATTTTAAGATGTTGAGAATATGTAGAGATCTTGGACATGAAAATATTACAAACTGTGCCTTAAATCTAATTTATTTTGGTAATTGATAAAAAAAATTAATAAGTGACTTATTTGTTCATTTATTATAATACTATTTTTGTCATTGTCACAAAAACTGTGCTGCCTTTGATGTGTAAGCACTATCTTAGACTTCGTGATAAATTCATCAGTTAACTTATATCAATGTAATTTTATTAATTACTGTTGTATAATAGAGGATGAAAATTAATTTATTGAATCTCATTTTAAATAAAAATTTAAATTTGTAAAGATAATTGTTAATTATGTGATGTTTATACATGTGATTTAGGCACTTGGATTTATCTCATGTACAACCAATAAATAATAATTATTATTAACCTAAATGATAGAGTTTGTAGTTGTTATAATAATAGGTGTGATGATGATTTTTATATCTTTTTTATATAAGAAAACTTTTGAAGTAAAAAATAATATTGTAGTTTACTATGTATGAGTATTATGTATATAATATTATATAATTTATATGTTTATATAAGTGTGTTTATGTATTTATTAATATAGGTACCACATGTCACAAAGTGCTCCTGAAAAACCTGTGTTTAGAGGACCAGAAACTGATGTATTGCATGATCTTGGAAATGACAAATTAAAAATCATTAGAGTTCAAATGATACGAGCTGACATTCAGCAAAATGATTCATTTCGTAAAGCTTATGTAGTTGAAGATCCAGTAGCTGGTAATAGATCAAAAGGTAGGTGATGTTTATGATAATCAAAGCATTTTTCAACTGAAACAAACTAATTAATTAGTTTAATATTTTAATATTTGTACTTCAAAATTACAATAAACACTTAAAAATTCATAACAAATGAAAAACATTATTGGTTCATTAAAAATAATGTTATTATTTATAAATGAATTAACAGAAAATAAGTAAAAAATTTTTGCTTATTGTATTTTATATTACTTTATATTACTGATACAATTATTAGAAAATTATCACTGTTTGAATACACTGATAAAAAAAAAATATATATATATATATTTACTTTTAAATTGAATTTTCTGTTTTTACATTAAAATTATATTATTTAACGTTTAAAACTAGCCTCTATAATATATTTTGTTTCTAATAATATTCTAACCGAATTTGTATACACATTTCCTTGTGGTTTTTTCTAATTTAAATGTTCCAAAAACAGTATATAATATACTGTACAGATATAAAAAAGCATGGGTGGTTAACCATGCTCCTCTTAGCCCAAATGTAGCCCAATATTATTAATTAACAATATTGTTAGTATAAAGTTTTACATTTTAGATGTTATCCATATTTTTATATTTTTAAAATTTATATCATCACTTTTGACTATTCTGGAAACCTAAACAAACATATTATGTTGGAAAGTATTAATTAGGAATGATTATCAAGTATAGGATATACTAATGTCAGTTTATTTAGTATTCAAATTTATGAAAATACTCATTGTATATTATATACAAAGCTATTTATAATATTTAAATATATTTAGTGCCTATTTGAAATGATTATTTTTGTCATTTTAGTATTATAAATTATTTAAACAAAGTATGAAATATTTACAGTTAAATTATTTTTGAGGAATCAAACAAAATTATTTAATTTTGTATTATAAGTTTACTCTATTCTTGGGTTAATTACTGAAACTAGTTTATGAGTCTTATATGAGCTATATAATATCAAGCTATTGAAGAATTATGAAGAGTAATGTATACTATTAAAAACTGATCATATTCATTTTTTTTAATACCTAAAATGTATTTAATTATAAGGAATTATCATCTTATTTGAATACAATAAAGAATAAATTCAAGATCCTATATCCAAAGAAAAAATGAAAAATCCTAATACATTGAACAAATAATTTTTTGGTGGTCTCTTCTAATATTTTATTTTTAAATCATAAACTTATATTATTTTTTGTAAATGTTGTAAATAAATAAAATTATTTTCTTTACTAATTTATTTACATTGTACCTTTTAATAATTAATTATCTTTTTTTTAGTTGTATGAAATAGCATATATTTCAACTATAAGCAATAATTTCATTTAAATTTAAGAAACTTGAGCTCATTTTTATTCATCAATTCTAAATCAACATATTTTTTGTTATCCATATTATATTTTCTATACAGATATTCTGTTCAGCACATACTTTTAACATTCAATTTTATTACATTAAATCTTAAATTTTAAAATTACAAATTATTCCAATGAATTGATTCTTAATACACATAATGGTAACTTAATTATTTACAATTTATTAAACTTCAATAGAAAATCATTTTTATTTTTTTCTAAACAACAATTTCAAGAAGACATTACCAACCTGTTTGTATCACTTACTAATACTGGTATTATTGAGATCTTATTCCATTGTTGGTGGATACAGGCACATTTGTTTTTCCTTGGAAGATTTTTCACCAATACTATTGCTGAAATATTGGCATTAAAATACATACTGCAAGAAGATGCATTCATTAATAATGATACAAATTATTATTTATGGTGTTAATGTTTTCTTTAACATCATGGATTAATAATTGTAAGCAATACAAATCTTTAAAACATAGTTTTATTGATTTAGAAACTCATTCTATTTTTAATATCATTTGTGATGCTTTCAGTTTATATAATATGTTATTATATTAGGCAATGATAGTTATAGGTAGGGAAAGCAATAGGGACCAGTACCCAAGTATCACATCAATCCAATACTGAAATATAAGAGCCATCAAAATAATGATGATTATGATCATACCTGTAAAAGTGTGCAAGAAAAAGTTATAATGTAACTTAACAAGTGCTTACCTAGTAACTATAATTGAATGTGTTAAAATTATACTTAATCCAGTGGTGGTTTTCCCGGAAGGCAAGAGAGGCAGTGCCTCCTTTGAAAATAAGAGAAAATACATGGTTAATATTATTTAAATTATAAAATATTGTTTGTTTATATTTTCAAATATAGACACTGTAATTCAAAAGAAATGAATGAAATATATATTTAAATTATGTATAGAGAGACTATGGAATGTACCGTGTTCGGACCAGTGTGCCCATAGGTAAGAGACGGCCCAGTGACCGTGAGCAACTATTGGGCAAATACAATATTATTTATAGTAATATACTATTAATATACTGTCATACTGTATGACTACACAATATACTAGGCTATAACTGCCCTTCCTTACTTCCCGCATTGGAGGTAGCTGCCATAATGGATACGTTACATGTGTACACAAATTTACACACAGAGACGCTCTTAAAATATACAAATAGTGCATGCGCGATTCTCTGTGGAAACTGCACATAACTGTTGCTTCCGTTGGCAAAGTCACAGGTTGTGGTTCACGGCGCCTCAGCTGATGACTGATTATCATTCTTTGGGAGGAACAAATAATTTTTAGGCATTCTGGCATTCAGCACGTACAACTAATTAATCATTAGGTCATCGCTTATGATCTAAGAGTTAATCTCTACTTGATTGCATTTTATCATTAAATAAGTTATAATCAATAACGATTGTATAGTAACAGAAGAAGGCACTAGTCAATTCAAAAAATAAAAATTGTTTTAATTGTTATTATTTGTTTAAACATGTTTTTATGGCTTAAATTTTATTTTAGTTACTTAAACTTGTATGTGATTTTTGCTAGAAGGACTACATTAGTAAATTTAGAAACCAAAAATTACTGTAATTTAGATTTATACATTTTTTTCCCCCCATCAATTTATAACTCAAAACTAGAAAGACCACTCTATAGCTTTATGTCAGTATTGCTTAAAATTTAAATTATAGATACATAGTATATTACATATTATATACCAGACACCAGAAAATAGTAGTGCCAAATCAAAACTTACTAGTACTTTGATTATGAGAAATAGTGAAAATGAAACAGTCCTCTACCAGATCTTAGATCTTTGGAAAAAATATTGTTTTTTAACAAAATAAATTAGTTATGAGACTTGGGGGATGCTCGCTATTTCGCTAATATTATGTATATATTGTAAAAGGGTATAAAATTGTTGCCTCCTCAAAAATATAATGTCAGAACCCCCACTGACTGAATTTATAAAATATGTAAATTTGTATTGGTTTTAATTAAACTTAGTGTTTTTTCGTGTTGACTATTTCAGTACCTGTTTGCTATTGCTTTAGCCGCATTAGCAGTTTGATCTAAAATTTTTTATAAACATAACCAATATTTCTCTGTATCTTGGTATCTAGGATGTAATCTATTTATGATAAAGGGTAAAATACTTATAATATTGTATTTTGTTCTAATATAATATTAATAAGTCGTTTCTAGCCATTATAATTTACGCACAATTTAATGTACCTATCATACAAGTGTAATTTGTCTTGTTTTAAAATATCGTTAAAAATTAATTTTATTGAGTTATTTCCCAATATTTTTGATACTGACAATACTATCACGACAAAAATAGATTGATAAAAAAAAAAATGAGTGGCATTCAAAGAAGTTTCATATTTTTTGTGTGTGGAATCATAAAATATTAATTATTAGTTATGGTTCTATTAATATTGTATACAATATATTGTTATTGTTGTTTACTTTTATGTGATAGTTTTGTTATGATATATACAACATATAGAACAATTATTTTTCAGTCAGAAACCCATAATAAGGTTCCTTTTAAAACTTAAAAGACTAAAATTTGAAAATTTAATGTAAGATTCCTCATGGTTTTTCTACCTTTTGCTGTAAAGTAGATTTTTTTATAAAGAAAAGTTTCGATTTTGATTTTTTAATTATTACATTTGGTTATTTATACAAGTGCAAGTGGTACAGACTCATATCGTCTCCTCTCAGAATCGTTTTTAATGTACAATTATTGATCATTGAATTTAAATTTAACACATCCATTGCAATGACGTACTCTACAGCAGAGTGGGATATCAGGATGTCCAACTATCCACGTTTTAACTTTTTCAATTTTGTGTCCACCATAACCTTTAAGTCAGAAAAAATTTGATTTTTAACTGTAAGTGTGGTATGTAGACTATAAACAAAAATTGAGAAAAAATGGGAACTTATGCAAAACAAGTTTTTGGCAGTATCGATTTTGTTTTTAATGTGTTGAAATTTGAGTTTTTGAGTTTATGAATAACCGTATAACTTGAAATTTTAATCAAATCTTATATAAAATTGTATTTTTCATTATCATTTTCCATATATGATACAATTCTTAAAATATTTGTGCGCTGTCTGAGCTAATGAGCTATGTATCATTATAATATTTTTACTTATCTTTTTTAAACATGTCAATAAAAAATTTTTTGCTTGGTCAAAAACCTTGTAATTTTGTTAAAAAAATATGAAATCTTCAATTTTTATACCTAAGGATTTAAAATGTAATACAAGTTGTCGTTATAAGTACTTCATGCTCACAAATTTTTTAAGTTCAAACTTGGATGAAATTAGTTATTTAAACAAAGAATAACAATTTTAGTTATTTTGTAATTTCAAACTATTCGTGGGTAGGTACTTGAAATTTGCAACGTATATTATTATATTTTAAATATACAATGACATTTTTAAATGCAGTGTTCAGCAAAAAATAATTCAATCTACCGTATATTTGAAGTAAAATAAATTCCTTTAAAATCAATATATATATATATTATAGGTTTAATAATATATTATAAGGCTGTCTTTACTCAGAATCATATTTTATATGCATTGATTTATCATTGAATTCAAATTTAACAAATACATTATATAGCCTTGATAAAAAAATTTCATATATTATCATTAAAGAATAATTCTTTATGAAATTGCTAGTATATTGTAATGTTTTAAAAATATAATTTATTCAATATAGTTATTGAGTCTTGAGTTGATTAGTATCTACTATTGCAATTTAACATCTGTACAATGTTAGATAACTAGACTTTTAACAGTGACCAACGGTGTATGTACGATATTAGAATATTAAAGTATTTTTATAGAAGATGGCCGTCACACCTTGCTATTATTTATATGCCATTATATCCTTGGAGTATTTATTTGTGAATATGAATATTTTCTGTGGAGTTGAACTATAATGAATATTTTTTATTAATGGTATAGACTATACTGTACTAAAGAGGAAAACATTTTCTAATAATGATATATTATTTGCTTAAACAGATTATGTTGTATATAATTAAAAATGTATCAAATATTACTATATGATTAATACAAAATTATAGAACTCATTCATAGAATTACATCGGAAATAGAACTGGGCCCTGTAGAAAAAGAGCCAAGCAAATGTCGGCAGCCAATGGGTTAAATTAAAATTATAAACTATTTGCTATGATTTTTATCATAAAGATGTTAAGGACTTCAACCCCCTCCCTCACATCAATTTTTTTATTTAACAATCAAATAATTGTTCTTAACCAAATATTTAAAATAAAGTGGATGTCCAACTATTTTTTTAGTTTCTGAGCAAAGCGTTGAATGCATTGATTAACAATGTTGTTTTTTTTTTGTATGTCTGTGTACTTGTGTACATAATAAGTAATCAAAATAGTGCTTCAATTTTCAACTTCAGTACTTTTCCGGTGAGAAAAGGAATCTAGTAGTTGCGTTTTATAAGTTAACATTTAAAATTCCCAGTAGTGTTCAAAAGCACTGGGAAAAACAAAAAATAATAAATGAAAGAATAATAGAAATTTTTACCCAAAATAAATATTAGATTATTAGATATTGGTTGTTGGTGTGGCTAAAAAAAATAATGTTGTAGGTGAATTATATATTCACTAAATGTTTATATTATTTTCTGAACACCATACATTTTCAAAATATTTTTATTTACTTATTTATAGGCCATATGAAATTTTTGATTTTTATTAGTTTTTTTAAATTTATGTTGATAAAAAGGTTTGGTTGGTTAAAAACTTGAAAATGTTAGACAAGGTTCTTCATAAGTTGTTGTAGATGGAAATTTAAAAAAGGGTTGAACTTAAATCCACAATAATTGTTTATGATTGTGTATATTACTATAGTAGTTATAGGCTGACCGTCTTTGCTCACAATTGTTTTTGTGTACAATGATTTTATACCATTAAATTCAAATTTAACACATGGATTACAGTGACTTCTCTATACACATAATCAAAATAAATAATTTGTATACTTTTCCAATAATATATAAGTATATAAGTGAAATAAATTATCTTTTAAGTATTTATCAAGCGATATTGTTCATTACAATTTTAAATATTAAATGTGTTTGAAAATAATTATATCACTTAAAACGTGTCTACTTGTGTTTATCATTTTATAATTATGCACTTATTTTAAAAATTGAGTGCTTTCATTTTATCAACTTTAATTTTATTTTTAAACATTTACTTTTTCCTTTGTTCCAGGATAATTTAAAATCAATGGTAATTTTAAAGAGTTTCTTACTTGTATAGTTGAATAAAGTAAATTTATTTTAATATATTTAAGCGTAATAAGTTTTACATTGAGTATACAAATCCAAGAACATTCCAATTAAAGTTCTTAGAATTAAAAACAATTATGTATGTTTATTATATGTTGTAGGATGTATAGCAAGAAAATATATGTGTATGAAAGAAGCACTTTTTGCTTGTGATCCTAATGAAAAAGATTATCTTACAATTCGCCTGTGGAAACAACAGTCTGAGAATGAATACCAAGTCTATAAATTGTATTTTTTCATTGAAACATCCAAATTTATTAATCAGTTGAACTAAAGAATGTAATATTGCTATTATCTAATTTAATTATTAATAACCAAATTAATGTCAAAACAATTTATTTTTAGTAAAACCACAGCCTATAGTGAACATTTGTTTAAATCTTGACCTAAGTGTTTGATTGACAAAAATATGTGATGAATGAATCACATGATGATATTAGTGAACTATTTTATATTTACATACATACATTACTTTAAAATATAATTATTATGTAATGAAACATCTTTTTCCAGTTTTCACTAAATTATATTTTCATAATGAAAAATTCATACACAAGATATGTATAAAAAAAATTAAATCCTCGGTGATAATATAATCTTAAACAATCGTGACTGATAATAAACCTTATTTGCAAATTCAATTTTATTTTTCGAAACAACATCTTTTTATGATGTGGTGGATTAAAATTATATAGGTTTTTATATGATTACCTATTTTCATAGGAATATCCAAATTTAAATTGTTGAATTATTACTTATTAGCAGTCTTCATCATAAAATGATATGCTATAATTTATTAATTATGTATATTTGTTTTGTAATATAATATATTATATCAGTCTATAATAATCTAAAAATATTTCTGTTATTTGGTTGGCACCTAAAATTCTTAATATGTCAGTTATAATTCACTATTCAAATGAGAACTATAATCATGATTGTTTTACTTAATATATTTCTTAAAGATGGAATTTTGAAAATTGAGGTAAGACAATTTGAATCATTGGATTAGTGAAAATTATTGGGCTAGTAAATGTTTAACAAATTAGTAGTATTATGAAATTATCGTATGGTTTAACTATTATAACTCATATTTATGTTTCAATTAAGGGGGTTGGAAGTGCTTTGCTGTTAAGGAGTATGTGATAGGCGATAGTTATATGCTTGAAGTCATAATATACTGTTGTTGTGTAAGAAGAAAAGAAACATTAGTGTGAGTTTCCAGCCACCAACCACTTACGACATTCTGTCACTATGGTGTGCCGTCATAAAGTTTTAGAGAAACAATTAGTAGATTGCACGTGCATGCACAAATCATTGTTTTGATTTGATAAAATATTTAGTTCCAGCGAGAAACTAATTTTAATACATTTAGACCCAAAAGTTTGACAAAAATATGCAGACTTAGAATTATTGGATTTTAATTTTATAAAAATATTTTTACTCGTTATTATTGTGGATGTCAGTTTTTGAATAAATGTTTAGCTTTCTTAAAAAAACATGAAAGTAAACTTTAGAGTTAAAATAAATATATGAATAGATAGAATTAAGTACAGTTTTTAAAGAAATATAATAAATCAACTCTGACAAGACTTAGAAAATATGTCAATAGAATCTTTTTACAAAATTCAAATCTGATTGTTTTAAGTGGGCACAATTTTGTCAGGCTTGTAGGCTTAAAACATGAAATTAATACCATGCTTCCAATCCCCCTTAATATAGTTTGATGTCATAATATATAATATATATTTTTTTAGTAATTTCTTATCTTTTACCAACTAGGTTTATGCAATATATAATCAATATATTTCGGACTTACATTAATAGTTTTAGTTAGCATTGGTGCTGCCACAAATGTTGTGAACAATTTTAAAATAAATATTTCTTTACAAAATTTAATGGCACAAATTTTTCACTATAACTCTTATTGTAAGAAAATAACAATAATTTACAAATTTTTATTTTATTTGGAATCATAGATAAAAACCATCAAAATTTTGAAGAACGGCAAGTTCATTTTAATCAAAATAATCAACAGATGCATTATGATAATGGTATGTCAGTATAGCTTAATGTTATATTTAAAATTTATTTTAAAAAACTGAAATTTATTGTGGGTTATAACTGTTATAAATGTATTTTTATGTTGAATATTTCTATTTTAGATAAAAATTATGGAATGGCTCATCCTATGAGTCCAACCAGGTTAATGTCTCGTGATCAAAGTTTATCTCCGCGGGCTAATATGGTTCGTCCTCCATCTCCTCCTTTGCCTTATTCTCCTGAACGTGATCATTTCAATTCTGACAACAATATGTTACGCAGAGATAGACCAAAACGTTCTCCAGAAAGAAATGTTCATGATCGTCCACCTAGGCCAGAACATTTTTTGGAACAGTAAATAATTGCATCTTGATTAATGTTGCTTGTAGAATTGACATAACAAATTTTCTGGTATTTTTTAGACATAAAATGGAAAACTTTTCTTCTGGTCCTCCCCCAGAACCTAGATCACCTGAAATGCAACGTTTTAGACCTGGTGATCACAATAGACATCGTATGAAAGACGACCCGATTCATTATGAAGAACGTCCCAGACATAGTGGATCGCCTGTATATTTTGAGAATCATTACCAGTACAACAGAAGTATGTCACCCAATAACCGACCATTTTCTCCTAATCATGAACAACAATTACCAATAACCCCACCATCATTGCGTGAGCTTTCTTCACCTTTGAGAGACCGTCCACCACACCCTAATGAACGTCCTCGAAGAAGACGCTCACCACCTCCTAGACGGGATCGTTCAAGAGAGAGACGCCGTCGTATTTCACCTAGAAGAAGAACACCACCACCAATTCGTTCACCTATTAAGCGTAGAGGTTAGTTCATAGTTAGTAAAAACTATAATAATTTATTCAATTTTTAATAATGTATCAACAAATTTAGTTTTTATTATTATTCTTTGTTAATCATTATACATTTATTTCCAGGTGAGTAACTAGTATTTATAATTAATGATAAAACATAAATATAGTTAATCAGTTTTAGAAGAACATTTCAATTTACTTGTTAATTATAAATACATTCATTATAAACTGGATTAAAAAAAAATATATTTTTCATTTTAATTTGCAACTGTATAAATGGTACCCACCATAAAACCTAAGTAATTTCTCTTTTTATGAATTTGAAATTTGTATTTAAATTAATCATTTTATAGTCATATTATTCAAATATTAAAAATTCCTCTTAACTTTTTTTTTATTGTGTTTTGTGTAATATTATTAGAGAATGGTAAAAAAAGAGGACCTAATAAAAATCAGGAAGCACGAAAACGAGAAGCCAAAGAAAGAAAAAGAAGATCTCAATCTAAGCCAAAATCTGCACCACAACAAGTAATATTAGCTTTAAAGTAGTAATAGTTTAAACGAATTTATATTAATTTTATTTTAGGAACAACAGCAACAACAAAATCCATTCCAGCAACCTCAACCACAGCCCATGTATCCACCACCACCACCACCTGGAGTAGTTCGAATGCCACCAAGACCTTTCCCTCCAGGACCAATGATGATTCCACTGAGACCCCCGCCCTTCCCACCACCAATGGGAGCATGGAGGCCACCACGTCCGCCAATGCAAGCACCACCTTCTGGTTGGCCATATCCACGTAAGTTTTATCTCTTAAACTATTTGCAGATAACTATGGCCTTTTAAATGTCTCATAAAAATATTAGAAGATTTCTAAGTTTATACTTCATTAAATTATACCATAGCTAAGAGTATCTAGCCAATTTATTATATGCCTGGTTCCAGAAACTTATTATAGTTTAAGGCCTATAGCAAACCAGATAAATTCATCAAAACAACCTATTGACTGACAAAATTTAAAGTACTTAAAGTGGTTTGATTTAAAAAACAATAAAGATTTTTGATTTGATAAAGAAGTTTACTTTGCATTGGTCGGAGTATTTATTCAATATTATTAATATTTTTTAATATATTTAATATAAAAAAATGAAAAAAATGATCTGACCAAAGCAATGTAATCTTGCTTATGCATTCAAACATTCTTACTATGTTTAAATCAGATCTTCAGGAGTTCTTGAATTTTTGCCAGGATATAGTTATTTCACTCCTATTTTGAATATTTTGATCTAAAGACTATATTAAATGTCTATGAGAGTGCTAATATGTTTGATGCAGGTGATTGGTGAGGATTTGTATAATAAGACCAATCACAAATAATGATAATTTAGTATCATAGACCTTATACTATTAGACAAGAACTATGTATAACAACAGCTGTCTTTACAAAAAAAAAAAAATACAGTGATGTAGCCTGTCTTGACGAAAAAATACAATAATCTATGTATCCATATATCTTACCCTACTATCCCACACTACCATGTGTAATCAAGGAATCATAAAGTGCCCTCTACGTTATCTTTCCATTGCTTGTCTATTTTTTTTATTTATAGTAGTATAAAGTCTATGTTCAGTATATATACAAAGACAAGAAGTGACTGCAAAGAACAAAAGAATTGCCTAACCACAACTCCTTAAAAATGACCCTTTGCAGGGGCCTTAACTTAAATAATTATGAGTAGCTTAAACATAATGATCAATGATCCTTCAAATGTATCATAATTTTTTGGGCAACCTAGCAATTATATAACATTAGATATGAAAAATAATGGAGATTTTACCAGTAGGTTAACCAATTTTCAATTGTCATCACTAAATTTTGGAATGTGTTAAACACAGGTGTATGAAATTGAATCTGTTATTGAGTTACTTAAGCGAGACAAATGTAGTGTTGAGTGATCTGTATGACATTCACTGTGTGGCTTACATCACTAAAATAAAAAAAATGTAGTGCTGTGCTGAAGGATTTTAACATGTAGATTTACAACTAAAGGGGTTTTGATGCCACTGTTGTCACTAACCTCCAATAATTGCGGTCCTAAACCCTTTCCTCACAATCGGTTACTTTCCAATCTCTCTAGATCTTGTTGTACTCTAACATTCCATTGTTTCTTCTGTATCATCGCTTTCTGAGTCTTCTTCCTATTGTTCACCATTCTTCAGTTGATGCCCTAGCTTCAGTGGTTTCATCTTTTTTTCATTTAGTTCATTTAGTTTTGGGCACACACCAAATCACTGTAGTGGTTGTCCCTTGCCATACCTTGATAGTCAAGGTAACTTAGGTGTCTCATGATTTTTCCTTCTATACCAGTATACTTAACTATGTTATAAACACTGATCCACATATTGTTCTTGATACTTTATTTTTCATCTCACTCTCCTTTGTGTGTTCACAATATTTTGACGAGATCCCAAATTATTAAGAAAAAATGTAACAATACAGATTCAATATAATAGGAGTGATTTTAGTCCGAGTAATTCAATATTCAATTTTTGTGGATGTGTTTTGTTATTATTTTCAAAATCATTTTAATGATTTATTTACATTAATTATGTAATATAACCAGTAGTGTGTTGGTAAATAAATTTAAGGGTACACGTACCTAAAAGTAGTTGAATATCACTATATATATAGCTACCTCAAAAAATGTTCTCGCTCGCTCCAAAAATCATTACACTTAATATTTAATTATCTTTTATTACTTTATTACAAACACTTACCATTCATGTGTATGTGTTTTTTCAGTGGTGTATATAGAGAGGAGGGGTTTAATTCAGTGTATACACAATAAATCAGTGGTTTACAAACTCTTTTTGAAACTTGAGTACACAGTTTGGGAACCACTTTTATACGTTAGTTGTATACACACTCGGCAGTTTCCGATTGTCTTTGCAAGAACCCGAAGTCGGGTAAAATTTAATCGAACTTCATCCGGGTCAAAGCTATTTTTGGACAGTATACTTAAATCATAATAACAAATTATTATGTATATTATTACTTATTTTTAACTTTTGTTTAGTGATATAACTGAATTGACCAATGATAAATTGGAAGCGTGTATATACCCATAAAAGCCTAATTTTCTTAAAGGTATACACATAAATCCAAAAATAGGGATCTGGGTATATGACGTTTAAGCGTGTATACCCTCCAATACAGCACTGAATATAACTGACATTAATTTTGGTTTGAGGTGCTTTGTCACAGCTTCCTTTACCAACTCCTGCTATGCCTTTGGGAGCTGCAAAGCACAGTTCTAATATCTCTGATTTAAAGTATTTAATTTGTGTGAATAATGCCCTTTCTACTTTGGGCAGCTGACTGGCTATGTTCTCCAGTTGTTGTTACTCCTAAATACTTGAAGCATTAAGTTTTCTCATACACATAATTGTCAACAGTAAAGTTCCCATTCTAACTACCAACGTTTTCATTACTTTTGTATTCTTCTCTTTTGTTTTTTTACTAACCTTTTTTAGTTTCATGTATGAGTTTATAGCACCAAGACTGATACCAATGACAATCTAAGTTGTATTATAGACATTAGCTTTTTATATTTGCATGTACATTTATTATTTCTTAAGCTAAAAAGCTTATATCATAGTTTATTTAGAAATACAGCTTTGAGAGTTTTTATGTTGCTTTAATAATAGAAAAAGTCTTTATAATAACATTATCACTTGCATGTCAATCCTGTCATCATTACTTTCCTTGTATACAACTATTTATTATTTAACTGATTTTACAATGAATTCATCTAATATTATTTTTATTTTTAGAAGTAAATTCAAATTTAAAAATTACCATTTTGGTTAGGTAATAGCTCTTATAATTCAAAAGATATGTACAATATGTTGAATAATTCACAAAACATCCTAAATATTACTACAGAAAATGAATCATTTTGACAGTTTTTTTCAATTGTTTTCTTCTTAAGATTTATTATCATTTATGGCAAATAAAAAAAATTCAAAATAGCTATTTCATAAAATTAATATTTTTTTTTTAAGAAAATATTAATTTATAAAACTATATTTAAAATAATTAACTCAGGGACTTATAGACTTTTTAGCATACTGCGTAATGTTTCTATGTACACATTTCATAATTTAAAATTCTATATTTTTCTGATTTTAGTAATTCTCTTATTGAAAATTATGTTAACAAAAGAACATTACTATTTTTTGCATAACTTTTAACTGGTAGAACTATTAAGTTGAGTTTTATTTTTTTTTTTCTTAAATGTTTTTTTTTTTGTAAAGAAAGTGAACACATTTTTTTTTAAATTTATGTTTATTATATTCAATTTTGAAAAAGTTTCAAAAATTTAACTAATGGCAAATATTAAATTAAAATTAATTAATGGTAACTTGTCTATTAACTTAATATAACTAGTAATTCCTAGATTTAATATTGATTGACTAAATATGCTTCGCCAAGAAAAACGTTGCATTACAGTTAATTATCGTACATTTACAAGCTGTGTTCATAAACATTTATCTTTGTTCTATGCTAAACAATTAAATAAAAATAATCTCAGCTTATTAAATAAGTTTACGCATATATGTTATTAGTTTTAATTATTTGTTTTGTAACTTTTTACAAACGCTATTGTGAACGCAGTCTTACTTTTAGTTATTAATTTTAATTTATAACGATTAATAACAGCCAGCCATAAGTTATTCACTAATGTACAAATATGTTAGTGATAGAACAATGTATTTATACATATTTTGGCGGTACATTTATTTTCATTTCTTTTAGTTTTAAATGTTATTTTAATATTTTGAATGTTTTTACAGGCCCAAGGCCATTCTACTTCCCCTACTAAAAGGAGTGACTACGAATATTTAGATTTTAATATTCCTTTAAGTGTGTGTATTTCAAAAAATTTTGAGTTCAATGATAAAAACAATTCCCAGTTAATGTTTTATTAATACTTAAAATCATACTATTTATAGGTAATCATAATAACTATGTTTTTATCTTACATACTCAATATTTATTTAAACATTTATTATTAGACTTATTATTGTGATCTTTAAGAAAAAAAATAATCGCGTTAAATATTTCAGTCCAAAAAAGCTGAAAATTAGATTTACAGTTATTTTTCAATTGTATTTCCATTGATATTACTTAATTTTAGTGACCACGTATGTGTTATTTAATAATTTCACAAAAATAGTGTGATGTGATTAAATTATATATGAACGAACATATATTTCAAGTATTCACAACTATTTTTGTGATGTAAAATTAAAATAACAGTATATGTGTTGTATATGTGTGACATTATTATATAGAACATTAGTAGACAAAAGTTTACCAAGTTTAGATATTTTTAAATTGTACAGAATCAAATATGTATAAGTCTGTATAATATATTTAATACGTTTACAAAAATGTTAGCATACCAATATACCATCCAATTATTATATTTATAAGCTAGATAAATAAGTTTAAAAAAACAATCTTAAACTTATATTAATATTCAATTTACACATGTAAATCAATTTCCTTTTCAATAGAATCATCAGAAAACAAAATTATTTCCCTAGAAATGATTTTCAATTATTTAAGTGAAAAACTACAAATATTTTTAAATTCAATAAAATTATTACATTACATTTGAACATTGTCATACCTATAATAATTAAATTACCATTAAATTTGTTTTTCAATACTTGATGTATAATTATTTAGTAAACATAATTGTCTTCTGTGTTATTATAATATTATATAAATAGGATTATTCAATTTAACATTACAAATATTGGCATTATATTTATAAGAATAAGAAATTCAATTGAGTTTTTGTCATTTGTTTAGTATTTAATTTGAGTGATCCTTTTTATAATCTGACAAAAAATTATGTTGTTTTAATTATTAATACAATTTATTTTGCATGACTTAAATTTATTTTACCTGTAAGTTAAATAGATAATTTCATTACTAATAAATGTTAACTTGTGTGAAATTAGGTAATTTTTTTTGATTGCTGCAGTACCACAAATATCTTAAATATTAATCAAAAAGTCTAATGGATAACAAGCGTGAAAAAAATAATTTTATTCACGTTGAAAAATCAAATTTCAAAATCATCGCATCACAGTTTGAGCTCAAAATTTTCTATTCGTTATTGTTGTAGATATAGATTTATTATAACCTGTCGAAAAATTGCCTACAAGTGGCGGCGGACGTCAGTGTCGTGCGTGACAAACCGTTTTATTAAAAATTATTTGTCAATAGTATATTAAAAAAGCGACTCTTCAGCGAGAGAACGCAACTGTCGCGTATTTGAATGGATAGCTTCGTGGTCAACAGCAATAGCGCGGCGGATGACGCTCGGGCTGGTAGTGGTGGGAATGTGCAGCATTTGACGAGTTTTGGTCGCCCAGTTGCGTTTTCTCGATGGACGGAGTGTAGATGTTTGCTACACACTAATGTCTAATATAAATAAATAAACACACACTTAACTCCGTTTTGTCGGAAAATTAATAGTATCTTAATTATCGTAGTGAAAACCGACATGGCACGGTTCATTAGTGACGCTAATGATAAGTCGATCTCGAGTATCGATAATTTTTCATCGTGTCAAAAGGCGTTCGTTTCGTGACCATTTACACGTGGTGTTATACGTATGTATGCGACCGGCCTGCAGCAGTGCAGCAAGAATATCAAGTAATGCACATGTACACCTGTAGAGCGCTACATTCGGTCAGCTCTCAATTGTTGTAGGATTACGCGTACTTGGTGTCAAACTAAGGACAAAATTTAATATTACATTATTTCTTTTTTAATTGTAACGACGTAACGTCATAAAATTTGTTGTATCACTTGTAAATCGTTTATTAAAATCAAAAATCATCGATAATTTGTGTTTCAAGTGCATTAGTTTTCGAAACAACGAACTAAAAGTGGACGAAGAATTAATGAAAGACTTCTACAGGATTACGAGCGAAGACGACCAGAAGGAAATGCGAACGGCAATTAGTGATTTCGATTATCGACGTATATGTAATAAATTCAGGGCCGGATTTAGGTAGAACTTTTTGATGACCTATATTCAATTCGAAAGTAATCAATCCTCTAAAAATTTATAAATTAAAATATAAACGTGTACAAGTGCACATGATGTTAATTTATAAGCAAGTATATTAAATTAATTATTTTGCACAGTTTTTCCCTCCCAACTAAGAATTATAAAAATTTAGTAAATATAATATATATTATATAATGTTTAATTAAATTAATTTTCTACAAAATTTTTTTTCGATTTCCTGGAAGCATAACTCTTGAAGCATACTATATGAATCCGACGATCTTAATGAATCTCAGAATATAATCATCAATATGGGATCACTGCTACATCTACAATAATTTCTTGAGTTTCACCGATGCTGAGTTTAAATCAATGTATAGTTAACTGTGAACATGTGAAACGTATAATACCTTCCCCTATGAGTAAGCACATTTTGATATCACAGCCTAAAAAAAAAATACGATAATGATAAAATTGCGTTCGACATTTTGGAGGTTACATCTAGGCGGTCGTCATAGTGATAGCTACCAAAAAAAAAAAAAAAATGTGAAAATTAATTAATAATATTCATCAATCACATAGATATCTGTAAGGACGAAAGGCTGTAGTAAAATAAAAATCTTCAAGAGCCCAAGACTGAGCACAGGACATAATACAAATTACAAATGAAGTAATAAATAATAAATTTAATAACTTATAATCAATTTTTAGTAGATACGATCGCTACTGTTAATAATGGTAATCGGTAAAAAAGACCAAGGAAAAAAAGAACACGGAAAAAAAGAACAAAGGAAAAAAAGAACACGGAAAAAAGAACAATTTTTAAAAATTTTAAACAGTGTCCCACTAATCAATATTCTTTAAAAAAAAAATTTTAATATAATGCATAGACACTTATGCTATATTTTTGGTCTTATTTATTATTATTATTATTATTATTATTATTTATTATAAAAAAAATACGAAACATAAATTTTTGATTTAGAACGTTCATCGAACTCGGAGACACCTCGAGCATAAATCTCGACTGGATTTGTACAGGATGTCATAGCCATTAATTTCATTTTTGATACTGCTTTCATAACAATTTCCATTTCAAATGTATTTAAAAAATTGAAGTATAAAAATTTAATGAAAACACTTGAACACTTCAATGACTGTCAATAGACTAAAATATGTTCACTCAAATTATAGCTCTAAAGTATGAAAAGGTCACCTATAATAGTCAACTATAAGGGCACTAGGATTACTTAGGGCATTTCCAGTAATAAAAATGTATCTTACTCTATATTATTATACTAAGCTTTATTGCATTTATGTTTCGTATTTTTTTTATTATAAATAATACCAAAAATATAGCATAAGTGTCTATGCATTATATTAAAATTTTTGTTTTAAAAAATATTGATTAGTGGGACACTGTTTAAAATTTCTAAAAGTTGTTCTTTTTTCCGTGTTCTTTTTTTCCTTTGTTCTTTTTTACTTGTTCTTTTTTTCCTTGGTCTTTTTTTCCTAGATTCGTTAATAATACTCAGTAAACATGAGACATTACAATCTAAATTTGCATTAATTGGAATGATTTTGAAATAAAAATAGATGAAATTTATAATCGTTGTATACGTTTATCATCTTTAATTAATCTCAATATACATAATATAGAGCATATATTACGCATATGTTTATGTTTATTTTATTCCTATAAAGTACACAGTAGAACATAATAACTGGTCTGTGAGACTGTATCAAATTGTATAAGTTAAAACATATTATTATAGCATTATCGTATTGGGTGCGAACAACGGACATACCTAATGTATAGACTATAAAATAATTATTTAAGTGTAAGAACTTTCTGTACATAGATCGATTGTATTTATTATCAAACTAAT